ACGCGACAACGTACGCGACAAGGCGCGTGGTGCCGCCAGACCAGGCATGGGAAGCAACCCAGCTGGAGACTTTGACCCACAACGCCATTGGTTTATTTATCAATCGGAGCCCCCCTCGCTCCCTTCGCTGCGCCCTGCGTACCTGGCTTTCTGGCGCGGCCGCACGACGCTAGCGTTTGCACGGGTCCGGGGCGGCGCAGGCGTGGGCGCAGGCGTGGGCGCAGGCGTGGGCGCAGGCGTGGGCGCAGGCGTGGGCGCAGGCGTGGGCGCAGGCGTGGGCGCAGGCGTGGGCGCAGGCGTGGGCGCAGGCGTGGGCGCAGGCGTGGGCGCAGGCGTGGGCGCAGGCGTGGGCGCAGGCGTGGGCGCAGGCGTGGGCGCAGGCGTGGGCGGCAGGTCCGCGGGGCATCACGCGGGGCCTGGAACACAGCGAGGGATTGCTTCTTGAGCACATTCCGAACTCTGCTCTCGTTATTCCGTCTCTTTCGCACTCAATCAGGGGGCGTTTCGAGGGCGTTCCGAGGGCGTTCTGAGGGCGTTCTGGGTGCGTTCTGAGGGCGTTCTGAGGGCGTTCTGAGGGCGTTCTGAGGGCGTTCCGAGAGTGTTCTGAGGGCGTTCCGAGAGTGTTCCGAGGGTGTTCCGAGGGTGTTTTGAGGGCGTTCCGAGGGGTTGCAAGAGAGACAGAGCTATGTTACCGGTGTGAGGTGTCCCCCCGGCCGGGCCGGGCCCCGAGCCCCGAGTCCCATGCATGAAGGCCGCGATGCATCCGCGGATTGTCCAAGCCGGCCGGGTCGATGTGTCGGACGCCAAGCGACGCCGAGCGACGCCAAGCCAAGAAATCAATTGTATGCTTCCGTTGCGCGCGGCTGCGCGTGGCTGCACGGCCGTCGGGCCCCAAATCACGGCCAAAAACTCCCAACCAGTGTGTGTGCTCGTAATTGGTACAACAAAATGCTTTTTTGGCGTGAGTTTTCCCTTTCGATTTCGCTTGATTGACGCGATGCATTCTGTGCATGAATTGCCCCACCTTTTTACTTGACCGACTTGACCCTAGAACCCCTGGCTGGCCCCGTCACCGCCTGAAACCACTGGTTCCGACACCTAACCCTCTCCGAAGTTGCAGGCGGTCTGCCTTACAGTGGGGTGCAGCGTGCAGGCACAGGGGCGATCCAGGCTTTGTGGAGGGGGGCACGCGGCCTTTGTAAGGTTGGGCACCGGGCACGGCCCTACGGCTGGCACGGCTGCAGGCGGCTCCGAGCAAACGGTGAACACCGACCAAAACGGTCACTAATCGAACTCCGGCGCGCGCACACTCACACGCCCAGACAGGATGTTGATGGTCAGGCCTGTTTGGCCCAGCGCGGGCCGTGGCCGGGCCGCGGGGACGCCGACGCCGATCCACAACCCCACGGGCCGGCTCTCAAACCCCGTCGGCACAGCCACTTTTGGGCTGTAACCCGAAACTCAAGGGATCGGAGCTTGGCAAACGTATAAGGCTATGATCTATGACCGGCTAGGACCCCACACCCTCGTGCCGCTTGCCCGCTTGCCCCGCTGCCAAGCCCCACAGGCGCTGCTTCGCGCTTCGCGGCCCGCAGCACAGTGGGCCAGAAGACCGATGGAGGCGGACAAAACTCTAGACGTGTTTTGAGCTCCAGAGTCGCTAAATGGGCCTCGAACCGAACGCGTGACCCCACCAATGGATTGCTCTCCGAACGAGGAATCCATTGGTGGGGTCCCACGTTCGGTTCGAGTCCTGTTTAGCGACTCTGGAGCTCAAAACGCGTCTAGAGTTTTGGCCGCCTCCACCGGTCTTCTGGCCCACTGTGCGCAGTTCGCGTGCCGCGTGGTCGCCGGAAGGGCCGAAAGGCAACTGACCGGCCGGCCGGCCCGTTGAAGGAATCCCAGGGGAAGTCCCCACCTCTCTGCCCCTCGTGGGGCTCCACCGCCTCCGCCCGCCTCGGCAGCCTCGGCCTGAGGCGCGGCGCCGCCGGGGCCCCGCCCCGGGTCAACAGGTACACATCGAGACTGCCGCCGGGTCGCGCACTCCACTCCACTGCGCGCGGCGTGGCGGCGTGGCGGCTAGGCCGCGTTCCTTCAGCCCGCTGCTGCAGGGCTGCAGGTTACTGAAGGTTACTGCCCCCTGGGGAGCCGCCCGCCGCCGCCCCTTGGCCGCCCTTTGGCCGCCTTCGCGCCTCGTTCGCCGCCGTCCTCCCCCTCCCCCTCCCCACTCTGGACCGCTCCGCTGTCGGCCTCGTCGGCCCGTCGGCCCGGCGAGGCGGCAACTTTACGCGCGCGCCCTCCGGAAGCCTTAGGTGCGCGTTGACGATGTGGGTCATGCCGGCAGCGCGAGGAGCGGTGCGGGGGAGTGCGGGGGCAGGGCGTAAACTAGGCCCGGGCGGCGTGGCCCCAACTCACCGCCCCTCACGCCCCGCGCCCCGCGACCTGCCCTTCCCCGCCGGCAGCCACACCGGCAAGTCTTGCCCGGGTGCAAGGGCCGCGCACCGCCAGTCCACAGTGGGCCAGCGAGGAGGTGGAGGCGGTCAAAACCCCGAACACGTTTTCAGCTCCTGAGTCGCTGAATGGGACACGAACCGAACGTGTGACCCCACCAAAGGATTGCTCTCCGAACGAGGAATCCATTGGTGGGGTCACACGTTCGTTTCGGCTCTGGAGCTCAAAACGCGTCTAGAGTTTTGACCACTGCGCCGGTCTTCCGGCAAATCCACTGTGCAGCCTCGCGCCAGGCGCACTTCTCGCCATCGCCAAGCGAGCCACGAACCGCGAGGCCAATTTCAATTTCGCAGCGGAACCCTCGAAACTGGCTCGGGTCCGCTGCTGGAAACAGACTGCCCCGTTAAATTTGGGTCGCCGCTGCCGCTTCACCAATTGGGGCTGACCAACTGGTGTCGCTGCAAAAAACGGAAAGGCAGGCCGTGGGCTGGCTCGCTGGCTGCTGCTCTAGCGCGGACCGGGACGCGCGGCTGTCGTTCTGTTTTTGTCCGCGGGATTAAACGACGTGGCGGAGTGCGTGCTTTTAGCGTGGAGCGCGTGCGGGCGCGTCCGGCGTGGGTGGCCAACTTCTGCTCTCCTCGCACAGTGGGCCAGAAGACCGGTGGAGGCGGTCAAAATCCCAGACGGGTTTTGAACTCCAGAGTCGCTAAATGAGACTCAAACCGAACGTGTGACCCCACCAATGGATTGCTCTCCGCACGCTTAAAGCCTTACAAAGTATTTTGAGCATACATAAATGCAAACTAATTTACTTTGTTATTCGAAGAAATGGTTCGTAAATTACGAAGTATTTTCTTTGTAAGCTTATGTGTGCTCAAAATACTTTGTTAGTTTACAAAATGCTTTTCTTTGTAAGGTCTAAAATAGTTTGTAAGGTTTTCTCCGTGCGAAGGCGGATTCCACTGGTGGGGTCACACGTTCAGTTCCAGTTCCATTTAGCGACTCTAGAGCTCAAAGCCCGCCTAGAGTTTTGGCCGCCTTCGCTTCGTCGGTCTTCTGGCCCCACTGAGCCTCGGCCTCGTCGGCTCCATTTCAATCCGGTCTCTTGTTCTCCTTGCTGGAGTGCGCGCCACGGTCCCCACGTCCCCAGGACCCAGGGGCGCCGCGCACAGGTGGCCAACGCGTCTTTCCCGCTTGAGAGTGTGCAGCTGTTTTCCCGGCCGCGGGGAGGGGGGGGGGAGGGGACGCTTGCAGGGCTGTCGGTGCTGACGCCAGCCATGGCGAACAAGGCACGGGGGAAGCAAAGAGTGAGGGGTCGGACGGAGCCGGAGCTTGTCGGCGGAAGTCTCCGGCAGTTCCTTTCGCTCTCCTCAGCCTCCGGACTCCGGAGCGCGGTTTCGATCCGCAGCACGCAGCACCAAGGCAGCCGAAGGCAGCACAGCGTCCAGCGCCGCAGCCACACTGCCGCCGCTAGCGGAGCTCCACACTGCGGCACCCTCGACGTAAACAAAGCCGACGGCGACCTGACGATCCGATGCTGCGGCACGCTGCGGGAGATGCTCACCTCGGCCAAGACCCCGGCTCACATGCCCTGCCGGACGGCCCGGACGGCAGCAACACCAACGCAGCGCACTCCGCGTCCTGGACGAACGCGCCTCGGCCTCCACACGGCCCGCTGTGCTCCGCTGAGCTTCGCGTCGCGAGGGTCGCGAGGCCTGCGTGCCGTCGAGTCGCGGTGTGGGCGGTACGGCGGGACGGCGCGCCAGGACCGCTGGACGACAACTGACGCTGCGAGGCGCGGCGCGGCGCGGCGCGGCGCCTCTCCAGAGGGCGTACGGGTACAGCTCGGCCCGGCCACAGCCCGCTAAAGCCCGGCGCCAGTAACCTGCGCCCTGCGCCGCCCCTCGTCGCCACGGCCCCAACCCCCAACCCCCGCCGCGCAGGCCGCGGGGTGGCGAGGCGAGGGTCGCAGCGGCGGTAGCGGCGGCGCCGTAGGGGTGCGGGCGGCGAGGGGAGAGGCAGGGGATGCCGGCGCCCTGCGCGTGCGCACGCCAGCACCGCGTAGCACCGCGGACCCTCCCCGCGCCTCTCACCTCCCCCGACCCCCGGCCCGGCCCCTCACTCCCTCCCCCTCCCCTCCAGCCAGTGCCGCGCCATCCCCGGACAAAGCACGTGCATGGCGTCGAGCGTTAAGTGCATGGTGTGGTGTGTGCGCCTCGGCATTTGGTGCCGCACCGCGCGCTGAAGCAAAAAGACTCCAGGAGGAGACGGTCCGCTCCGTGGCAGCTTGCCTTGGCCTTGGCCGTGGCTTTACCGCTGCTGCACGGCATGCTGGCTCTCAAATCCCCTCGTTTGATTGCAATGAATATCTCAATTTCAGAAGAACTTCGTGTTACCGTGTACACTGTCTGTCATCACCCACGCCACATTCACGAATCTTCCCTCATTTCAAGCGCCTCTTCTTTCCTCACTTTCAAGTTGAGTACATCAATGTTTTTGTTGGGTGTTATCAAGGATGGGAGGTTGTTTGAAGAAATGTACTAACTCAATTAGAAGGTCACATGTATATATTTTTACGATGTATCATATTAAAGGTCACATGTATATATTTTTCACAATATTAAGCTCACCCATTCTCTCTTACAGTTATGAGCCAATTCAATTTTTAAAGGTTCATGCGGACAGCTATGTAAAGTAGCGATAGATATGATATTACAGTATGTACAAATGTAAAGTACAGATATTATACAGGTGTAGTGGGAAAACGTCAAAAACAGTGGGCTGCACTCTGAGCACATTCTGAAACACACATCATCTTTTCTTACACAACTTGAGCCTTAAAAAAAGATAATAAAAGAAAATAAAATTTGAAAAGAAAATTGTAACTCTGCAAGTAGAGATTGACACTTATTCACAGAAAAATGGCAATCTACCTGCTCCACAACCAATCAACTTGTCATTTCATAAACTGTCTTAATTTTTAGGTTATTTAATTCTTTTCCTAACATGTAACATCATAACATCTGGAGAGGAAAAACTTCTGGAATAACACCAAATATGTCTCTATTTGCAAATCATGAATGTTGCTATGTTACAAACTAAACAGTATATACAAAACATACATAGTCATATATATTTATATATATTTATAGATATATATGTATAATAAAAACTGGCTTTGTACTTAGAGCTAAGTGCATATAATTCTTCGCCTTATGAAAAATACTTAAATAAAATTGTGACAGAAAAGGGTGAGAAGAGGGCTTGTTGGACGTAGAGAAGGGCAATAAAACATTTTTAAAAATCTTGAGACACATCAATAATAACAATTTAAAAAACACACAAAAACATATCCACACACATTTTTATGGACTAACTCCATAAAAAGAGTAGAATGTTTTCAGTGACTCAATCTTACACAAACACAACAGAAATGAATAAGAATATAACAGCTAAATATTAAGTCCCACAGTAAGGCAGAGCAAAATACTTAGTTTCTAGGTATTATTTGACTTTGAGTTAGTACGAGATGCACTGCAATCAGTGGGACTCTTAAGAGAGAGCAATTTCAAAATGAATTCCTCTTAAATTTAGAAGAACCCAAAATGTTCATTAAGTTAGTATCCCCACCAGGGAGCATGAGCTTTCAATCTATGAGAAATGAGTTCGCATGAAATATAAAGGTTAAGTAATCACAATAAGCACTTCTTTCTAAAAATACCGTACCAACAGCACCAGTACTTTTAAAAACATACTTGCTCTGGAATTTTATTGTTTGGCCATACTTATTTACCTCTGTTATGACTTAAAACTGGAAGGAACAAAACAGGTTGGACCTCAATTCACGATGTTACACACGTTTTGTACTCTTTCAATGATGTAAATAAATATTAAAATTCAAACTTGATTACTGATTCAAAATGACACGGTCCCACGAATCCACAGCAATGTGAAATTGATTTCACGTGTAACTTGGCCACTAAAAATGGACCACCCGGTAATTAAGGAAGCCACCACAAGCTGCACAAAACATTAAAAAGGTCACTTGTCTAATAGCTAGTTATACCAGGGAGTGATATTTCATAATACAACATCCAACAGCTATTTTCTAACCACAGACATCATATTAAATTACTATAAACTATTAAGCCACAGATTTCCCAGCTAAAGCAGCACTAATAAATGAGAATACTTCCTCAAAAGAAAAGGGATTCAGATAGGCTTCATCTGCGACTGCAGAAGTCAACTAAATGCAACCACTAAGTAGACTTCATATAGAAGTGAGCCATTACAATTTTAATATTGAAGTATTACCTTCTGAGACGAGATTCAAGGCCCACAAAAGTTTTAAAAATCAGAGTATCATTCTTTAAGGAATTGAACAAATATCTGAAGCTTGCCAACTGGCCTCTTAAGGGTTGACTATGGTAACAGAAACAGCATGTACATAAAATAATGTACCAATGTGAATATCGTCTACAACAGTGTCAGTAAATAATACTAACATTAATTAACATCTGAGACTGTGTTAATCTAGAATGCTAGTAATTAGACTTCTTTATGCAAATTTTGTACTTTAAGTTTCAATTTGTCCTTAGAAAAATAATAGTTACAATAAATACAATATCTTCACATTATTCCATCAATACATTTTTTCATTTTGAACAAATGAAAAAATGTGAAGGAAAAGTTACTAATTTTGCAAAATATATACACAGTACTGTACTTCATCAGTAACAATCACAACACTGGTATTCAAGTCGTAAAGAATGGAGTTCATCTAGTAGCAACAATTAAGTTTAACACGTCTTCATAAATTGTACACACACATCAATCACAAAAATATGCAGTCCTCACCGAACTATTAAGGAACAAAAGATTTAATTGTAAATAGTATTTCCACCTATATTACTCACACTTTCCTAGTACAGATCACCCTGCACATTTAACGATTATTTAAAAAAGTAACAAAACTGGGAACTTCACACAGCAACGCAGTCACGCTACACACCAGGGGAATTGCGGACTCATGACGCAAAGCCACTGGCATGTAAGCCGAACGCGTTACTTAACTAAGTCCATCTATTTCCCTCTATATAAGAAACAATATATAGACAAATAAATACTATCACTTTAGGAACTGATGGCTTCAACGAGCTGGCCCCGGCTTCGGCCCGGCTTCGGCCTCGGTGCTCATTGGCGGCTGAAGGGCGGGTAGTAGAACCCGCTGTTCGGCCGTGGTGCGACTCCCACCCCAACTCCAGCTGCGGGGCCGGCCAGGGAGGCCGTGGCTCCGTAGAACTGGCCGGCCGCGCCGGCCGCGGGTGGAGGCACGGGCACGGGCCCGGGGCTGGGCTTGCCAGCCATGCCGGCCTTCATGCTGGGGCTGGGGCTGGGCTTGGCCGCGCCAGCCTTGACGCCGGCATGGGTCGTGACGCCGACGCCGACCACGCCGCTGTAGGGTGTGGGCAGTGGCAGTGTGGTGGGCCCGGTGCCCGGCGGGGGCGGCTGCGGCATCAGGTGCGCCGGCAGCGACACACTCGGGGGCGGCACGCCGGGCGGCGGCACGGGCACGATCGGGGGCGGCACGGTGGCAGCCACGCCCGGGGGCGGGACTCCCAACGACAACGCCACGCTCGGGGGCGGCACCACTGCAGGCTGGGCCTTGAAGCTGGCCACGCCTGCAGCCGGGGGCGGTCCCGGGGGCGGAGGGGGTGGGAGAGGCCCCTTTTTCTTGCCCAGAGAAGGAATGGGACTGGCCGTCATCTCCTTCTCCTTGGGTAGCTCCTTGGCGGGGTCCTTGATCGGCTCCTTGACAGGGTCCTTAGCAAGTTCGTTTGCCGGCTCCTTGCTGCTCGCCAATTCCTTGAGTGGGTCCACGCCCACTGCCAGAAGGGCTGCAATCAACAGTCGCAATCAGTAAACTGTCACGCATATCCCATTGCTCATTGAGGCACCAAATATTTGTCCAAGTTACCTTGCTTCCTCGCCTTTTCTGATTCCTCTTCATCAGCAACAAACAGACCAAACTCTCTTCTTAGTCTCTGCGTCAAATTTTCACGTTGTCGTTCTAGGAGTGTCGGTGCAGAGCTCCACGATGAACCCACTAAAATCATGGAATACAGAGTTACTGAAGAATGCAGAAGGCATCATCATAAAATGACTAGCAGGCGCAGAAACATACCTTTCTTGTCGTCTCCTTCTCCTTCTTTCCCAAGGTTAGACGAGTCAGCATTTAAGACTGATATGCTGCCACCTACAATGCTTGGAATTGCAGAACCCGTAGACGAACTGCTTGATGTGTTAAATGCACCCACTTTGGCGGCGCGCATGTCCAGCTGTCGAATCTTATTCATGATGGGTGCTGAGCTAGATTCATCATCAGAAGACAAAGAACTGCTGCTACTGCTGCTGCTGCTGCTGTTGCTTCTAGCTCGGCTTATGGGCTTCATGCTGCTCACGGCACCAGCCTCCGGGCTCGGCGATGCATCTACTTTCGTAGTAGCTGTATCAGTACTAGTCCGCTGCTTCCTCTGACGATATTCAGAGATTGAAAGCTGGAAACAAGATAAGCCAAAAGGTAAGGACAAGTCAAAACAAAGGTACTTCTTACAGGGAAAATATAATGAGGAATAATTACCTTGCGTTTAATGGCTGGAGGTTCTGGGGGTTGAGGTGTGGATGGCAATGCAACCGGTGGGGGTGCAACGTAAGGGGAAGGACGGGCTGGACTAGGACTCATGGTGGGCACCGTTGGAGGTTTTAGGGAGTTTTCACGAGGTCTCCGGGGATCTGTAGGACCTTGTGGAATAGAGGTCTGCACAGGGTTGATTACAGGCTCAGGCTCCATGAAGGATTGACGGCCTTTTGGGGTAGAATTATGGAGCTCATGTTTGTTATTAACCTCTTTTGTCTCAGTTGGGGGAGCAGTTTCAATCCTTGTTGAAATAGCAGAAGATAAAGCACCACTATCAAATGTTACTCGGGTAGGCTGAGCTGGTGGCACCTCAATATCTTCAGCCGATTGAGAACCATCGTCAGGACTGCTCATCTGGAAAGTCAAGATAGTCAATAACACCATGTTTTGTTGAACACATTGGATAAAATACTTCTTTGTGAAAATTAAATAGACCATTACCTCTGTATCAGCATTTTCATTGGCTGGCGTGACTGTTCCATCCAAAGTGTCCTCATCTTGAGTCGGCTGGTCAGACTCTGACTCAACATTGGCTGGTGAGTCTGCTGACATAGACTCGCGAGCCAATCTGCGTTTCTTTAATGGAGTTACATACTCAATGGTCTCTCCTGACCCCGCCCTGCCGTTCGGGGAGTCTGCGTGGTCTTCACTGATGGCCTGCCGAAGCCATCGCTTCTTGGCAAATCCAGCTGAACCAGTAGCAGGGGTCAGATTGTTGTTGACGCCCTCAGGGGACAGGGGCTTCATATAAGGCAATGCAGCCTTCCCTGGTTCAGGAGTTGATGCACCATCTAATCCAGGATTCTTAAACCATGATGTTAAAAGGCCCTGAAGAAGGGAGGAAAACACAATTTAAGGAACATCCAAAAGTGCTTAAATTTAGCAGACATGTTAGGTTATTGAGTAAAACATACTTTTTTAGTTTTGGGGAACTTAAATCCTGGTGCGAGCGGGCCAACAGCAGCGGCAACCAGAAGGCATGCAGATGATAAGGGAGTGGGAGGCGTTGAACCTTGGGAAGAGCAGCTTCCAGCATCCTAAATCAGGAAAAATAGAGGATTAGATAGAAAAAAGGCTACTGCAGCACAAGAAAAAAAAATGACAATATACCTTGTCAAAATTAGGGGGAGGTGTTTTGTTATTAATTTCTTGGAATATGGAGCGTGGAGACTGAACCTCTTCATCCGATGAAGCATCGTCAACATCTTGGTCCATGTCAGGGTCATTGTCAGCTTCATTGTCATTATCCTGATCTAAATCAGGCTCAACATCTCTTCCTGTGCCCCGTAAGAATCTGGTGCGTCTTTGAGGTCTTGTGGCTTGAGGAGTTTCCTTCTGTTGAGTACTGGCAGATCTGCCTCTTCCTTTGCGTCTGGAAAAACAAGAAAAGAGGAAGAGATACAAATAAAGATAACAACACACCTGCTAATTGTCATACCTTGTTTTCCATGCAAAGCACTTACTTCCTCCTTTTTGTTTTGTCAACATTTGCTGGCTCCTTGCGTTGCACTGGTGGAGTGTCTGGCTCTTCACTCTTGTCCCCTGACTTCTGTCGTTGCTGACGCACTTGAGCTTCTTGCTTTTTCTGGGCAAGTTTCTCCATACGTTCAAAAGCTTTCATAATTGCCTCCATCTTCCTTTCTTCACGAGTCTGAAATTAAAAAGATTTATATTTAGTTTGGGTCTCAATTTATGTTTATTTTAATGAAAACATTATCTACTCACCAGAGCTTTGCTTTTATTCTTGTCTACAGGTTCAGCCTTGACAGGCACATTCTTTTGATCTGGCTCAGATTCGCTCCTTCCTCTTCTCTCCCTTACAGGTTTCTCTTCTTCTTTGCGATCCTTTTCTCTTTCCTTTTCTTTTTCCTTCTCCTTCTTCTCCTCTTTTTCTTTAACTCTTCGTGAGCCAAGTACAGAAGTTTCACTTTCAGACTGTTGCCGGTTTACAGTCGAACTTCTCCTTGTCATAGTATTTCGAGTTGTGGGAGGAGTAGGAGGTGGAGATGGAGATGAAGACTCTTCTTCCTTCTCCTCTTTTACAGGTTTACTTTCCACCTTCTCAGGCTTGTCCTTATCTACAATACTTTCACCCTCATCTGGCTCCACTTTGACTTCCTCTTTCACCTTTGCTTCCTCCTTCACTTTCGGAGGAGAGGGTGACCCAGGAGGAGAGAGACGTCTTTTCTTTTCTGGTACAGGCGAATGAGGTGGTGACGCCATACACACTGGAGTTACAGGAGTAGCTGGAGTAACAGGGGTTGCTGGAGCGGCAGGAGTGGGAGTCAATGATGGTGACTGGGCATCTACAGGACTGGTGGGTGTCCTTCCACTGGGGCTAGGCAAGTCCCTACAATAACTTGAAGAGACAGTTCGTCTTCTGCCCCTTCGGCGCCTAACCTCTTCTGGGGCACCATTTTTTCGGCTTAGGGTAGTACTAGGTTGAGCAGCAATTTGAGATTGGGCTGAACACTCCTTGGGATTTCCACAACAGCAAGGTAGATTTGCACCCTCTTGGTGGCGAATTGTAATCTCTGCATTCTTTTCTAAACTACTCAGAGTGACCAGGAATAAATGAAGAGTACCTTTCTCCACACAATGTCTGACCTGAAATACAAGAATGCCAATTTAAAATATACAGAATAAAACGACTGATTTTCTTAAATCATAGGTGGTAAAAGAAGTTCTTACCTCACTGTTGGGCTTACAGGATCTCCTCACAAAACGAGCGTCATTGCCATAAGTGCGGCAATCCACACACACCTCAGTTGCTTCTCGAAGAGCAGGAAGTGGCAAACGGTGAAAGAACAGGAAAGGACCAGGAAGAGGGGTGTTTCTGGCACTTAGAGCACGATGTTGCTGAGAGAGCATGTACTTGCCACGCAGTTCAATGATTGGTTGACTAGCAGCAAGAGAGCAAGTAGTCACCAAAATTTTTGTTCCATTAGGTAGCATAGTTAACCTGCACTTGGCAACACCAGATGAGCCAGACAGCAAATGAGAAGGAACTTTAACTTCAGAATGAACGCCATTGACCCTTATGCTTTGAATACGAGCTCTAAGCTCAGGAGAGTAGTGATTTGTAACAGCTTCCTCATAATTATCAATCCACTGACGTAAAGACTGAATTGGTGGAGACTTCTCCCAAAATTCAGGGCCTTTATCCTCATCTGCTCCTTTACTCTGCTGGCAAACCAAATAATAAAATCAGTTATAGACAAGAATGGAGAACGAAAATGCAGATGCATGTGACAGCAAAATGAAGTAGTTACCTTTCTGCGGCGAGGTGCTCTCTTGTTTTCAGTTGACTTTTTACGAGGCGTAGGTTGTCTCCTGGGAGTGGCTAGGGATGGCACATTATCCCTGGCAGAGTCCCTTCTCTGGCGATAGCCAGCATTGCCCACGGGGGGCTTTCTTAACGGTTCATTCTTCCGGCGTCCACCAGGGCCTGGCCCTCTCTTCTTCATGACCCCTGATGTTACAATAGCTGCAAGTTCAAATTTCAATGAGTATTTGCATGGGACAAGACTAAGCTTAAGCAACACAGCACATTAGAAACGTACTCAGTGGTTCAGAGTCAGTAGATGAAGTTGATGAATCACTTGAAGTGTCATTGTGGAAAAATTCTTCTCTCTTTCTGCATTGAATGTTGCGAGCACGCATCTTATCAACACGCCTGGGCTGACATCTCTCACACATGTACTCTTCCGGAATATTCATTCTGTCAATTCCCATACAATCTACATGCTGCCACACACTGCAGAAAATAAAAGATTGGTTAGACTTGAACTGTGAACATTGAAAATAAAGAAAGTACTCATCAATAATACTTACGAGCACTTATCGCAGCAAATCATGTAACCATCATCATGTTCAAAGTCACTGAAAGAGGGGAAAAAGAAAAAGGTTAAACCAATGATCTGAAAGTTGGAAATACAGAATGAATCCTGAATATAAAAGCATACCAAATGCAACGAGTCACACTATCCTCTTCTCCTTCTGCTTCTGGAGCAGTCTCTGTTTCTTCGCCTTCAGGCTCCACTTCTCTTCCACCATCACTGCTAATGTCACTTCCCACATCATCCGGAATATGGATTGATGTACGTTGAGTGTGAGGCGTCTGAGGACCACCATGATGAGGACTATGGAGTGCATGAGCAGCTTGGCGCATAGTAAGAAGACCTGACCCTGGCAAAACAAGAGGAAGGGGAAGGATACAGTCTTACATAAAAATACGGCATGGGAAGTGAAACTGATGGGGGTTGAAGAAAAGATAAGGTACTCACCCTTATTTTGTTGGTTGTGAGGAGTGTGCTGAACATGATGCACAGGGTGGTGTTGTGAAGTAGACTCACTATTGAGCGAAGAAGGACTTGCACTGGACTGAACCCCATTGATCTTGGAGCCTCCCGAATGGTGCAGTACAGGTGAGAGAGGGGGCGAGGCAGGTGGCAAGGCGACATAATTGTGCTCTTGCAATACATACTGGAAGACAAGTCAAATGTTAAAAACAAGGTCCAAAAAATGCATTACTTGTCAATCAAGATAAATTTATTTACCTGATACATTAGAGGAATCTGTGATTGATTATTCTTCTTATCATCATTAGACAACGAAACCTGCTGAGACTTTTCCACAGGAACCTCCTTAACAAGCTCAGAGCTAAAAATCAAACAATTATTGAATTAATGCATAAGGGCAGAGTGGGAATGGAAAAGGGAAAAAGAAAATAAATTGTCTGATACAATACCTTAATTTACAATTTGCTGTGGCTGGTACAATGACCTTCCTAGTCTGAAGTTCCATAAATGGTGATGGTTTATGGATGGATGCTGTGCTTTGGCTTTTCTGCACAACGGAAACTTGAGCATGTTGAGTATTAGCTATCACTCTGTGATGCTGAGAATGAATTTTGAAGGCACCAGCAGTAATGTTGCTGGCATTTACATTTGAAGGCACAGTTCTGACAGTTCCTGTGCTTCCAACTGCAGTCATAATAGTACGATGTTGAGATTGCGCCGACATCGTTCCGCTATTAGAAGCATTTGACGTGATTGCACCCAGGGGTGATGACTGAGCAGCAACTCGACTATCTCGATAAGACACGTTGCGTCCACCAGAACCTAGGAATAAATTTATATTTAATATTGCGTTACTTAACTCAAATTTAGATAGGAACAAACAATCACATGAAATGTTTATTTACATACCGGGTGTACCAGTCACAGTGGATCCAGGTTTGGACACTACTGTAGTGCCCAACTGGACTATCAGACTCATTCCGTCTTCAGGCTGAGAACTCGTATTTCCACGTCTCACAGCCCCTCCAGGCGACTGGATAATAGTTGCTGATGTAGCTTGGCCCACTACGAGGCTGTTTACAGCTCCGCCCCCACTGAAAACGACAGAACAAAGAAAAGAGTGTAAGACACGTCGATGCACCACAACGCACGGCAGGGAAGCCCCAGCTGGCTAGCTCACCATTGTATGTTGAAGGGCGCCCGCAGCACGCGGGGATGGCCCGACGAGGCAGAGGCCTGCAGGGGCAGGGCCTGCAGGGCCGGCAGGGCGCCGCGGGGTGAGCTACCCCCTGCACCGGGGCAACCGGGGCCCGCGCCCCCTAGCTTGATGACGGACGGCACCGACGTTTTGGCGGCTCGGCTCGGCACGGCGCGACGGCCACGGGGACCCTCGGCCACGCGCACCCTACGACGCCGACCTCGAGCTGGACCTGGACCTTTCCTATCCTAGACTATCCCGCCTGCTGCGCGGTCAGGCTCATCGGCAGTCACATTGCAGCGGCCCGGGCCTGAAACAGAGAGAGCAGAAGAAGAGGGTTAGTCGAGGAGTACGATGGCGAACCCACTCTGCAGAAGAATTGAAGGATTACTCAAAGAGGACTGTTCCATTTTTTCAAAGTGGTATCGGACCAGGGGTGGCTTTTGGAATCGCGTCACGCCAAGTTGACAATGTGTTTCACCTGTTCTAGACGGGAGGGGCGCTGGGTTCACTCCCTGTGCTCGCTGCTGCCTGGCCCTTTGTGTCTTTCTTTCTCCGCTTCCTCGTTTGGAAGACCTTACTTTCCCCGACTAGTGTGCCCCGGGTCATGGTCGTCGCCATGTCAACGCCACTGGATGGCGGCTAGGCTGGGCTAGGCTCGCACGGCGGCCTGCATTTCGTTCCACGCCGAGGGCACGCCTGTTCAATGCGGCCTCCTGTCACGTCTAGTGACTAGCGCCTGGCGCCTCGCCTTGCTGTGCCTTGCTGCCGCTGTGGCGCCTCGTCTGGCCTCGTCACGCTGCAGGCAGGCAGGCTGCAGCTCCACGGCGTCGTTGTGCTAGGTCAGGGCGCCGCGGCGTAGCAGGCGTAGCGTTGCGTTGCTCCGCGGGGCGTTAACTCGCGTCGGATTCCAGGAGGAAGGGGGCGGGTGGGAGTAGCTGCCTTGAGCGGCAGAGGCTGCCGCCGCTGCAGCGGAGAGAGGCGTCGCAGCTGCAGCTGCAGCAGACAGCTGCGGAGCACACAAGGTGGGGGGCAGCAAGCCAGTGCCAGCAGCCCCCCACCCCACTGCCACGCCCCCCCGCCCCGCCGCGCCCCACGCGGGGTCAGTGCCCCGAGTGGCCGCTGTCCTACTTCGTCGCCTCAACTCGATTCACCGCAGTGGGGGCCCGGCAGGCCCGGCCAGCCTGGCTCAAGTCGCGACGCAACAAAAACAGACGCCAGCACATCGGCCACACAAAAATAGCCCTTCAAGCGACAACAAACGGAACAATAAGAATTTGGCAGCGGCGACGACGGTGACTTAGGCCGCCCAGCCCTTCGTTGTCGGCCGTGCGCGCCGTGCGCGGCTGGACTGCAAGGGGGCCGTCTTGGCGGTGCACGTCGTGCGCTCCGTTTCCCTTCTCGCTGTTCTATTCCTCCACTCTATGCGGGCCGAGCGGCCAGGCGGGGCCAGGGGGGCCCCCGCGGGCCCCCGACGGGGCGGCCCAGCAGCGGCCACACTAGACGCTTGGCAACAGCGCGGTGCAAAGGCACAAGGCAGTGCAGCGCCCGGCAGTGCACCGCCCCCGCCGTCCCGCGGCCCCCCGCGGCCCCGCGCACCGTCGGCTTGCGCCTGCTTGCCTGCTTGCGCCGTGCATTTCGCCGGGAGTGGGGCAGGCAGGCCCTTGCAGGCCCGGGCGGCCAGGACAGCGGGGCCTACGTACGGTCGGCCTGGTCGCGGAACCGTTTCGCTCGCCTGCTTTAATTGTTCTGTCAGTGCGACCGCGGCCGCGGTGCAGTGCCCTGCAGTGCCCTGCCGGGCCGGCAACGCACCCAAGGGCCCAAAGGGAAGGCCCAGAGCACGAGGGCGTCGCTGCAGTCGCCGCAGCCTCCGCAGACGCCTGCCGTGGGGAAGCCGGCGGCCCCAGCGCGACGCCGGCAGGCAGAACCGCGCCGTCGGGGGGAAATGAAAAGAATAAAAAGTAATGGAACGGAACGGTGAAAACGTCACCGCGAGTGCTGCCGCGGCTGCCGTGCGCACTGCAGGCAGCCTGCGCCGTGCAGTCGGCTGCAGTTGGCACCGGTTTCTCCGACAGAGTCGGTACGCCGGTCGGTCGCACACAGACCGGACCAGAAAAGCAGGAAAGTCGGGAAGGGCCCGTGTCCGCGTCACCGACGGTCACCGAGGCGCTGGCGGGGTGTGGTGGGGGACGACGACGGACCGCCTGTCTTTCTTTGACGCGCTCCCGCTCTGCAGTGCTCTGCAGCAGGCACAGCAGGCCCTGCAGGTGCTGGACGAGCATGGCGAGGCACAGCCACGAGCGGCCAGGGCACCCCCAACCCACCCCACCAAAGGCCACGCCGGCCACGCCGACGACGAGGGGTTGGCTGGGTTGGCGGCTCGGCGGCGCGGAGGGTGCGTCGAGGCGTCGGGCAGGGCAAGGGCAGGCAAGGGTCGTCCGGGCTTGGGGTAGGTGGGGGTGAGGATGATGGCCGCGAGGAGGGCCAGCGACGGCACGGCCCTGCACGACCAGGGACGCGGCTTCGCGGAGCTTCGCGGAGCTTCGCGGCCGACACGATGAAAGCACCGGCCCAGCCGCCCTGGGCCCTCCGAGGCCCCAGCTTCCCTTATCAGGCCGTGCCCCTTCGGCCCTTCGGCAGCCCAGACAACAATGGCGGGGCGCTATCTAGTGTAGCGGGGCCGGCGAGGCCCACTGCAAAGGGCCCAGCGCCAGTGGCGGCGTGACGTCACGGCCCAATCGATGGACACGCGGCTCAGCCTTCAGCCCTTCAGCCCTGCCAGCCCTGCCCTGCGCAGGCGCGACCAGCGCGAGGCGGCACGTCCCTGCAGGACTCCCCGTCCCTTTCCCGACAACTCGACTCGACCGACGACGACCTTTCGAAGCAGCAAAATGAGGGCGTGCGAGCCGCGGGGGGCATGCAGTGCAGGCAGCCAGGGGTGGGGGGCACCGACGCTGGAAGGGGTAAGCCAGGCGAGCCCCCACGCAGTGCATGCGAATGCCACTGATGAGCAGCAGGGGTGGCCAAACTGGAACTCCCTCCCCTGGCTGGGCCCATCTGGGCCTGCCAGCGGAATGGTTCCGAGAGTCGTTCACGTCGCTCTGTCTCCGGGTCGCTCTCGGGTCCGCTCCGTGAGTGCGAGAGAGACAGAGCGACGAAAGCAACTCTCGGAATCAGTCTCCAGGTCCAGGGATTACCGCGGCGCCTCCCTGCCGCCCGGCGGGCCCAGGGCGGCCTGGGAGAGGCACTCTGGCTGCGAGGGGCACTCCGGGGCACTCCCAGGACGCTGCCGGGCTGCCGCAACAAAGCCCACCACGCATAATTGTGGCAAGGGGCGACCTTCGGACCGAATCAACGCTCCATTCAAGTCAGCCCGGGCGGGCCTGAAGCAGCCTGAAGCCTGACGAGCCAGGCGGCGCAGAAAAGTGAGGTTAGCGCGGGGCAGTGGGGGCCGGGCCGTGGCGAGCCGCGGCCGAGCGCTTGGCGCGGCACCGCAGCACGGCGGTGTGGATTGGTGTGGATCCGCCAGCCAGCCAGCCGAGCAGCCAGGCAGGCGGAAGGATACCCCGCGCCGCGCGCCCCGCCACAGCCACAGCCAGGCCGCCACACGTGAGCGCAAAGCGGCAAAGCGCTCCGTTGTGTTGGGCGCCATCTTGTTTGTGGCGCGGACCATGCGCGCGGCGCGGCACGCCACGGCGCGGCCCGCGGGCACGCCACGCCACGGCGCAATACTCGATATGCCGCGAGGCGAGGCCTGCCGTGCCTCGCCGTGCCTCGCCGTGCCTCGCCGTGCCGCCTCGCCTCGCTTTGCCTCCCGCACCGCGCTGCCGCAGGGCCCACGGCAGGGCCGCCGCAGGGCGCGTCCGCTCCGTCCTTTCCCCGCCGCCCTTCTCCCTTCCACTCATTACCGGGCAATCAATGGGCGAGACAAGGACGCAACATGATCCGAACGTCGTCCCCCCGCCTCGCGCGCCTCGCGGCCCGTCCCGTGCCCCCAGCGGGGCCCCGCTCGCAACGCCCCCTCGAGCCCGCCACCGCCTTCACCGCCGAGCGCCTCGCTCGCTCGGCCCAGGCCAGGCCAGGCAGGCCAGGCACACAACGCGAGCAGCAAGCGCGGGCCGCGGGGCGGAAGGGGCCGCGACGAGGAAACGCGGCGGAATAGAGAGAGGCGCGGAGAGGGAGGGGAGGGGGGCAGCAGCGAGGGAAGACGAGGGACTCCATGGCATTTGGGACCGCCGCGACGACGTACGTCGCCAAGACGATGACGAGGGTGGTGGAGCTGAGGCTGAGGTGGGACAGAAGGGTGCCTGGTGCTCTCTGCCCGACTCTGCCAGCATGCTGCCAGGCCTGCGTGCTCTGCGCTCTGCGTGGTGGTAGCGCAACGCGGGGATCGATTGCTGGCGCTGCTGGCGCTGGGCGCTGCGCTCCTCAAACCACCGACACACGCTCAGCACGAGAAGTGAGGCAGGGACACTCCGCGGCAACAGCATCGCTGCCTGGACGTGCAGACCACATCCAAACCAAATTGACAGACCAAGCCGTCAGGCTTTGTGACAGACCACAGAACCCCTACGACTCTCAACATCCTTTGTCTGCACCTTCTCGAAAACCTCCTCTGGGTAGACCGAAGAATCATTTACCATACTGCAAGCCATCAAAGCTTCAGTCTGACCATTGTGCTACATAAAACAGTTCTATTTCATTTGAAGATATTTTTCAGCAGTTTGGCAAAACCTTTAAAATTATAAGAGAGGTTACCAGTAAGAGTCGAGCAACGGCACAATCGATAAAGGGAGAAACAGAGTATGGTAATTATGCATCGTTTCTTTCCTCATGAGGTTAAAATCTTACATTAAAACAAAGACAAATCAAGAACGATGCTGCCACCAAGCTTCTATGATACATAAACTGTCATGGCTGATGAAAAATCCACTAAAGTTGCCTTGTCGAGGCTGAGTAAAATGTATAGGTGAACAATTTAGGAAACAAACTTTAAAATGCTTTAGGTAAAATTTCACACCATACAAAAGAAGCAAGAGTATGATGACTCAGTCTCCAAAGATTACATTTTACAATCCATTCAAATATGATACGACACTGTCAATGAATGACATTAAAGACTTTCTGTCTGGTGATGACAAACAACTGAAAACATAATTATTACAATTCAGAAAGAATTTGGTGCATGAAGCAACAACGCAAATTCTAAAACAAAAGTTTTAGAAACACAAAACATTGATTGGCAGTATTTCTATCATGAACAGACTTTACTTCTCCAAGTCATTCAATTTAAAAATAGGACAATTTTCTCTACAAAGTGGCAGTTGTGAAAGATACATAGAACAGACGTAGTTGGGATGATGCCATTCACACTTCTCATAATGGAAACCTCTAAAAACCAAACTACCAACAAGGTGCACAGTTCTCATCAAACTTCACCCAAAATTTCATTGAGAATTAACAGGAATTGGAACTGCATCTCTTCACATTGAATGGTGCTGAATTTACAGCAAGAGGAAATAGAAGTAAAATGTTTGTGGTCGTTCATAACATAAAAACAGAACTACTCCGAGCGATCATATGAAATGCCTTAATCCATGTATTTACTGGCTTGAGGACCACATTGAGCACCATCAAGGGAAATAATGTAATTTGAATTAAGAAAGAAGGTACAAAATAGTGTGGACAGAACAAGTGACACTGTAATGAAGCTGACACCTTCACTCATAGGATATGGATGGCAACAACCATTGAGAGCATAACCTGCACGCCATTCATCCATATTCTTTAGAAAACCATTAAGGTAAAATTACTGCGAAACTCGCAAGAAACGAACGAGTGGAGAGGGTAAGGTTAGAAAATGTGAAAACGATTAATGCACGTTAACGGGAGATGCTCTGAAATGGGAAGCATAGCAAGCAACATTGTTTGGACCCGGTCCGAACGACCAAAGGCTTTCATTCAGAAATGCTACCATGAGGCCTGTTTGACCGTGCAACAAAACGCACTAAAGAGGGATATTTTTTTTACGTGTGAAGAGCTAAATAAATAAACAACGCCAAGTTGTATTGTGATTCTGAAAGGCCCACTCGGTTCGAACCAGTACCTACATAAGGTTTCATATAACTAGAGCACTTTTTACATTCAAAATGTGGGGGGAAAACCAAAATCATAAAAATGGTTAACTTGAACACTCACAATAACCAATATTTTGACTACTCACTTGAAACTGACAGCGAAGCATTCGTTGTCTTCTAACACTAATGTAAACACAACCATTTTCACATCATTTCGAGCGAGTCGACCATATTTTATCATTCCCGAAGATGAAAAACAACTTAAATGTGTTTCTAAAACAACTTTAGAGTCGAAATACACCACTGGTTTGATATGATTACCTTTGTCTTTAAGCACAACGAAATTCCCACGAAAGACTATAACCAAAGATGGCAACTAAAGATGGCGGAATTTAAAAACAAGGTTCACATCCACGGACTACTTTTGCAGTCTCCAACCCAAAGCTCACTTCCGGCGACAGCTTGAAAGCATCAAGCTGCCGTGACAGAAACATCAAGAAGGCCCGGGTCGCAAAAACGATCCCAAGCGACTGTAATAGGGAACAGATGTACACTTTCTTTCACGCATAATTTCTAGAATGTATTGCTCATCATTTTGATTCCCCATACAGTTTTAATTTTTTCAACTTGACACTAAAACTGAAATCGCAGTACTTTTTGCGAGACTGTACTTCCAGCTTGCCCCCCTGCCATTGAAAGTGCGGCCAATTCATCGATGTTTCAATGACGATTGCTGCTGCTGAAGAGTTCTATAAGTCGCCGCTATCCAATGATGAGCTCATTACACCTTGATAAATACGAACTTTTGTGATGTCACGTGAACTGTACGACACCAAGTTGAATCAGTCCATCGCTTCCCGCCACTGAAGCTATCTGGCCAGTTGCGGAAATGATTTTGTGCATCCTGAAAAAACATAAAACCAACTTCAGCTATTTGTAGCCACTTTGACAATAGCAAAAACTACGTTCATATATCATAAATAAAATCTAGAGACATTCTCTGTTTGGGTTTGGTACATCAAAGCTAGGGCGTGAGGAGGGAAGATTTACCTTTTTGAACCCTTACGCAAAAACGTGTAGTGGTACGTACTGAAAACTGAAGAGGCAGTTGTTTCCGCATCCGGCTCTGACGTCACTGGCATCAAATCTCCTCCTACGTTAGAAAATGGAGGTTTCTGTATGATGGGTCCTCTCGGTATTTCTCTGTACGTATGTTTTGTTGTTTTTGCCTTTTGTTTACCAATTGACCCTACGACAGTCTTTGTGCGTTTTGTTGGTGCGTGTCCGCGAAGTGCGTCATCAACCTTGTCACATAAATATAGAACAATCGGGCTACGCCGGAACCCTTGTATTGGTCCATGCCGGTTTTCTCGGATCTTCTTTGGGTGTATAAATCGTCAACTGGCTGCTTTTGAACACCCGACCGAGTAGATTTCCGTCACCAGCTAAGCACAGAGCATGATCTCGTTCGAATTTATCCTCGAGCAAAAGCGGCCGACTGTTGTTTGTGTCGTTTATTATTTATTATGAAGTAGGTGAGGCCGTAGGCCTGCGGGCACTACCCTACCACAACCTTGACGGCAGTAGGCGTTTTAGAAAATTTAATTAACTTTAAAATTTTGCCGATGTAAGTTCAATCACAATGTAGATTTCTGCCTCATCCCTTTTTCTCTCTCGACTATCTTTTGTTGTAACTCAGCCAACGTCCATGTCAATTGTACTTGTTCCGGGTGGCCCTGCTGGGGGTGTGTGTTCTAACCCAACCGACGTGTTGAGGTTAATTACATGAATTTCAACTTCAGAATTGATTCAAGTTTATTATTTCATTTAAGGGTCCAGTGCCTTTCAAAAGCTGTCATCATTCCCGTGCTTGACTTTTGATGTCATTGTATTTTATGCCCTTGTGTCAAATATCCATGTGACTCGTTTGTTTTCCTTAAGACTTCAATTATGTTTGATTGTAAGAAGCAACTCTTGGAGTAGTCAAATTTCAATGTGAGTTTATTCATTGCTGTTTTCATTTTTTCCAGATGCAAGGCGTGATCAGAGTGCATTTTTTTCTGTGATATTGGCTCCTTTTATAATAAGGACGTCAGTGATCTTAGTTACCAGCTAACTAATTATACTTCCACCAAAATGGGCGTTCAAGATCTTCAGACTTTCCTTGAAAGCTCAAGTGTGCCTGGTGGCACAGTCAATGTGGAGTTACTCAAAGTGGCTCGAAGTGTCGTATCAAAACAAAATGGACGAAATAAGAAGCAAAAAGAATCTTTGCTAGGGGGACCACAAATGTTCAGCTTAGTAGTTGATGCTGAGTGTTGCATTGATAGGCTCTATGGAGGTTTTTTCTCAGGTATAGATATTTTGTTGTTTTTTTGTGCCAAAGTCTTACAGCATATGTGCCCATTTTGACTCATGAAAATAAATGGCATTTGTTACAGATTGGGTTAGTGGTGGTGAATGGAAAAGGATGGTCCAATTTTTGTCAGTTCTGATTGAAACTGTCCAAACCGGAAAAATTGATCTGGTGTTTTTCTTTAATGGAAGTCTTGAATCTGAACGAATGCAAGAATGGGTTGCGACACAGCTTAAAGCTCGACAGAATATCAACTTGGTTCGTCAATCACTTTAGACATTCTCTTACATTTATTGGACAAAGTGAATTTACTTGTTTTTGTCTCTTTCTTCAAGGTTTTAAAGCATATAAATTCTAAGGGCACTCCCCCACCTAAAGTATGGTGGGTGCCTCCTACAGGTTTAAGAACAGCTTTACGTATGGCTATGCGTCATCATGGTCTCACAACAGTCACATCAATGGATGATCATCGACAAGAAACTATAGCTTACCTCCGAGAAAATTCACTTCATGGCTTGGTAGCTGATGATGCCGAGTATGCTGTCTTCGACCCACCACGCTACTTCTCAGCATCTAACCTTAAATTGACTTACAAGGTATTTGTAGTACTGCTTGTATTTCTTTTAGTTTATCTTGTGCCAAGCTGCTTTGTTCCTTTGTACTAATAGTCTTGTATTTTCAGGGAATGGTGGAAACACGCGAGTATCAGCTGAGTCAGTTAGCCAAAAGTCTGGATTTGCCTAGGGAGCGTTTTTGTCTATTAGCAGCTCTTCTTGGTAACTACATGCTTACTGAACAAGATTTGTCTGAATTTTACACACGACTGGGACTTGATTCTAACAGTCTGAAGCCTGATGCCCTGGTGAAAGCAGTTGCATTATTTGTGAAAACTTTGGACTCCAGTGACAATCTTGATTTTGTGGCTACCCAAGTTTTTGGCACTGCTGGTGATAAACGAAGTGCCAAGTTAAAGCAATGTGTTCAGTATTATATGAATGGTACAAAAGAGGGCTTTTTAAATTACCGTCCTCCATCAGGTATTTTTTTTTTCTTCTCTGTGTCTCTGTGTCTTCTTTTGTGGTTGTTTATTTTAGTTTTGTTCTATCTTTACAGCACATAATGCTGATCCTAATAAGTCCAAAAAGATGGAGCCAGTACCAAATGAAAAGGTGAATGGTGTTAATGAGAATGGTGAAAACAGTGATTTGGACACGTCCAAATTTGCCTCAGAAACTCAGGAAAGTGAACAGGAAAGTTTGGCTGCCTATAATGAAGCCACAGCTGCCTTGAATCTTTCTCAAGAAATTGATTCAGAAACGCCATCTTCTCCTGCCACCAAAGAAAATGGTATTCATGAAGAACAGAAAGAAGAGAAGGAAACTCTGGAGAATGGTACTGTCTACATCAAGTACAATTCATCAATCTACTCTGTCAATCTCAGTGCCCCTTTAATTTATTATTATGAATATTGCAGGGACAGTCAATGGCACCAGTCAGCATCTGCCGTCAGATGTCACTCCTTCAGCATGCTCAGGAACAATTACTGACAAGGAACCTTATTCTCAAGATCTCAAACCATTGCCCCCTGTACCTCCAGAAGTGATGCGTACTGCTAGTGAGAGGCATCAAAAAGGTCTCATGTCTCCATACATTTGTCAGGTAAGTTCCTTTGATTGTAATTTAGGTCTTGCTGATTTTTATTAAAGGGTATGATTTTCCTGTACAATAATGAATGTTATCAACATTATTTTTAGATTCTTTCTCATGGTGAAATCATGCTACCTATGCTCATGGAGGATGAAACACACAAAGATCTTCCCAGTATTCATTCATTCTATCGACCAGTGAGACAAATGGTGTATGCTATTCTCTTCAATCTTCACCATCATAAATACCTTGCTAACAAATCAAAGAAGGAGAAAGGTATGGTAAAGTGTTTTCTGTTATTCTTAATTTATTCAAGTGCAAGTAAAGAAATACATTTATTTCAGACTGTACAGAGAAGACTGAAGTTCCAGATTTGGTAATCAAAGAGTGGCTATGGTCGAAAAGCAATCAGTACCAATCACCAGACTTGGTTCGAGCTGAAGAAATTGGTTGGGCTGTTCCCACAATCCAGCGACTTTGGTTTGGGTAAGTGCAGAAACTTTTCACGGTGTTTCCTATGCATCCATGTGATCAAAAAATGTGAGTTTTTGATTTTGATGTTTTCAATGTAGATCAACTATTGATGACAAACGCCGTCGCTTAAGGGCATTTTTGACCTGTATGAGGTCAGACAATCCTCTCATCCTCAATACCTCTTATGTGCCCCAGCACCTTCTAGTCCTTGCTTGTGTTCTTAGGTATGTGAAGTAAACAATAATGTCCCTCCCTCCTCTTCCTTCTTCCCAGAGTCATCATAATCTCCTTTTTTCTGCTCTAGGTACATAATGTCCTCACCCGAGAAAATACTTCGTAAACATGAGTTGGACGCTATCATCACTCAAGCTGTTTCTCCAGAACTCATGGACATTCAGTACCTCCAAGAATTGCAGCTGCCTATGGTTACTAGCCGAGGAGTTCAGTTGGCTACTCTGCTATTAGCTGGTGTTGAAACTGCTCTCCTGGTTAATGATGCCTGTGGTGCTCCAGTACCTTGGCTCATGTGCTGTCCTTGGTTATACATTGATGGAAAACTTCTGCAACATACTCTTGCTCATGCTAGTGCCTGCAAGAATTTGCGGGAACTGTGTGGTCACCGTCTTGATCAGGCTGTGAAAGTAGAGCGTTTGCGTCAAGCTGTCCTTGAAGGTCTTGATGTACAGTTTGCCAGAAACTTGATTCCCCCCCTATCAAGTGCAGCAGGTAAAGAACAATGCCCATGCCTTTTCTTGTTGTTATTTTTCTTTCTGTTCATGTTCATTTTTTAATGAAGGCATTTGTTTGCATCACAGGGCCAATCCGAATGATGACATCAGGAATGATACCTGGTGCTAGTGGACCAGTTGGACGAGGTGCTGGGCGGGGCGGCATTTTGAGGAGACCCGTACCCCCTGGTGGTGGTCAGCTTGAGGTGGCTGGGTTAGTTGTGAGCAGTTGGGGAGCCAATTATGGGTCCCGTTCAGCTCATCCAGTTCCACCATTGGGATCATATCATCCTGGTCTCAGACCTATGCCTCAGGTGCGTTTCATTAACCATCCCTCCTTTCATATTTGTTCTGTTCTATTCTATGTCATTCTGGTAGTGGTAAGATGTATGCCCAAATCCTTTTCACAGATGATGCCCAATATGAGGACTTATAGGATGCCAATGAATGACTTTAATGGTATGGCTGGGCCTCGGAGCCATCAAAGACCTTTGTTTCAGACAAGAGGGACTGGATCCAAAGTAATAGGTCGTGGTAAAAAAGGCCAGGTAATTTCTTTGAAAATAAAAATTTTGTGTTACCGCAATAAATGGTTTATTGAACTTGCATCATAGGTTTGTGACCTTTTAACTTTCAGGTCATCAAAAAGAAAAGTACTGTGCCACCAAGTGGCACAAAGCGTATTCTCAACAATGAAAAGAGAACTGTTAAGGGTCGAGGGATGACAGTGGAGGTAGAGGATGCTTCTGGGTAAGATACTGCAATTCTCAGGAGGTTGTTTCACGGTCTGCAGTTTTTCATGTTAAACTTAGTCACAATTTTTTAATTTTAGGATAACTGCCATTCCTGCTGCTGATCTAATTGAGAAGTCAGTGGCGGCTATTTCTGACCAATTTGAAGATTTATCAGTCAATGGAGAGAAGAAAGACTGCAATGATGAAGTACATCAAGAACAGGGTGATGACGCTGTTGTTGTGAATTAGTGAGATGTCTTCTTGCACGGACCATAAACCACCTATTTGTGATATTACTGATGATGACTGAAGTGGTGCACTGCCATGTGATTGATTGGTTACTGTGAGTTTTGTTGATTGCCTGCAAACCAATTGCACAGTTGACTCTTAAGCAATTTTAACATGCTCTTATCTCCAGTCAATGGGGTGATCATATGCACCAAAGTGACTTTTATCTTAATGTTGTGACCAGGATGTGATGTTTTCCTTGTTTTTTTTGTTTGTTTTTTTTATGTATCATGGAAAAACTCACAGTTTTTTAATTGTCGATCATGATTTGTGCCTTACTAAAATTGTCGATCAAATGTCATATTGATTATTCCTCGAATGTACGGTGAGAAGTATATTTTTCTATGTTTGTTATATTGTTACATAAAAATTAAGAATGTTTTGATGTGTGACACTTGGAATGGCTCATTATATCAGGTCAGTCATGGGATTGTTAATGAATTGAAGTTGTTGAGATGGCTTGTTGAACTTACGTTTACTCCTGACACTGCTTCTAGCACTGAGAAGAACTGGTTTCTTGTTGAACTTCTTCTCAGAGATTTTTCTCTTCAGATCTACTCATACATATTCTACCAATTCAAGATTCTATTGGTCATATGTGCTTTGACTTTCCTTTTGTGATCTAAATTCGAACTTTGATACTATTAGAGCCTTGACCTCCTATCCTCTGTTAAAATCATGAAGCGTTTTGAGATGATTTCATGCTTCATCCAATACATTGAATGTATTATGAAACTTGCTCATAAGCTTTATTTAAAGCTCTGTGCTCCAAGAATTCTGCAATTTATACTTTTTGAAAGTGTGATTCAGAAATTGTTGCTGTTGGATTACCAGCTTTGTCAGAATGATTTCAAGTAACATTTTGAAAATTGTCATTCTGCAACATTGCATGTAGTTTCATGAACCCATTTTCTACTACACTGTGGTTGATAGCCTATGCTAAAAGTGCAAGAACACTGAAAGAAACGCCAAATACTTTTGTGTGTATACCTTGAGGGGCCCACATATATTTTCTACTCTTCAATCTTGTAAGAGGAAAACATACTCTTATCATTCATTTATTTGCTCTGCTTAGATTTTAAGGAATATGATGATGCTTGAGGCATCAATTAAAACAAAATGCGTGCTTCCGGAAAATAATCTTCCTGTTCTTTTTTTTTCCTTCATATTTTTTATGTTTTATAGAATTTTAACTAATGACAATTGTCAAGTTAACTGTGTTGCTGCACACCCAAGCCTTGTTAGTACCACTATTACTTGGGTTTTGGTTTATTCTGCTGAAGTTGCACATGGTGTAACTAGGGTGCAATGGAACTTAGATTGAGAATGTTTCTCTAGCATATATATAACTTTGACAGTGGACAAATATTTTTGGGTTAGTTTGGTTTGTGTTTATTCCCCTCAATGTTGACAGTTGAAATAAATTAATATAGCTGAAAGGTATGGGAGCTTTGAAGGGCTCTAAGTAGTATTTAGTTGACCTTTTTATATAAATATATATCTATACATATATATTTTTTCAGTGTTTGAATTAATGTTAATTCTTGGTAATGAGTGTGAAGTGTGGGCCCCTACACCCCCATTCAAATGTCTCAAGGGAAAACTAGCATCTAACTTCTCTATTTTTCTCTCTATAATTTTTTTCTTATTTTGTGTTATACTTGTAAGTTATGTAACATAGCACTTGTACCCAAGACATACTGTCAATAGATACTATCTCAGAAAGTATGTACTAACCAAATGAAGCTTTTATTGCAATGAATTTGTTAATTTTCATTTCACTCGTTTGGAAGAATAAGCTCTACAGGACTTATAATCAAAGCTATGGAGGTCCTCTATTAATCTACTGTAGAGAGTTACTGAACTCTGTTTTTGATAATGTAATCCTATTATGCTCTGGAAGGTTTGTCTTGTGCATTTTACAGGTCTGCTTTATGCTTGCTCTGCTATACAGCTCTGTCAATAATAATCAATATTTGTGTTATCTTCATTATCAAAAACTACTGAAAATACAATATGTAGGAGGAAACTTTGTTGGATTTCTGTTGAAGAACTTTCAGCCTCAAATGGCTGAATTTTGTAGGACTTGAGAGGAAAAGGTCTAGATACTGTCTGATCTGTTTGTGGTTGTATTAAAAATTCTAGAATTAAATTCATCTTGTCTTATTTCACACCCTTTCTATTTCACCTCGTACTCCCGTAAGTTGGTCCATAAATTGGTAAATTTACCTGAAAAAATATTGTAACAAGCCTTGTTGGAACATACTACTGTAAATATTAACATAGTTGTAAAATAATTTATCGTTTCTTAAAATCCGTAGCAGTCTTTTGAGAATCCATCCCTCATCATATTAAAATTAAAGTAGCAATTAAATTAGGTGCACCGCATCAGTGCAGATCGACAGAAACTCTCCAGTTCACAAGAAATGAAGATATCATAGCCCCAGAGACGGCCTCTACACTATCGTAAATAAAGAAAATAAATACTTCAAAGCGCGGCTCTTTTACTTCAGCCCAAAGAGCAATATTTCAAGGTTAGACGTTCGTCTTCTGTTGTTCTGAGGCGCTGTCTGGCGTACCGTCGGAGGGATCAGCGGCTGAAAACAAAGACGGTTAAATGAAGCGAGCAGTTGACATTGCCTCAAAGCCAAAGCCGGCTGCTGCGCTGCCCGCTGCTCACCGTGTCGATGACGTGCATGATGCCGTTGCTGCCGATGGCGTCGCACTGCTGCACCACGGCGTCGCCGATGTGGGGGCGGTTCAGGCCGTCCCTGCGCACCTTGTGGGCCACGTCCTTCTTGAGCGAGGGGACGCGGTGGGTGAACATCCATGAGGAGACGCCCACGCCGGAGCAGCACAGTGTGGCTGCAAGCAAAGCCGATGCGCCACGCTAGTACCGCGAACCTCCCATAAAAGACGACGCGTCATTCCAAAAGTCGTTTTCGTCGCTCTGTCTCACTCGCGCCTACAGGACGCCCCATAAGAGCGACAGGCAGAGTGACGGAAACGACTCTCGGAATCAGTTGGGGGACTTACACGGCAGGACGTGCCGCTGCACGAACGAGTCGGCGTGCCCCTTGTCCGTCTTGAGCTTGGCCACGCGCTCGGCGTCCTTGAGCTCCTCGAACGCGTCGTTCGTCGGCGCCAACAGCGTGAAGGCGGGGAAGTCCGCGGAGTTGGGCTGGGACAGTTTCTCGGCGAAGGACGATGCCTGTCGAAAAGGAGCAGGTTGAGTTAAAATTAAAAGGAAACGTCGTTTGAGAATGGTTCCCGCACTCGAAAGCGCGGAGCGTCAGGCCGGCTGGCCCACCTTGATGATGTCGCGGAGCACGCTGAGGTCGGCGCGCTGCTCCACCATCTGCATGACGGAGTCCTCGGCCGGCCGGAGCACCCTGTCCACCTCGTGCAGCACGGCGCCGCACGCCTTGTTGTTGGCGTCCTCGACGCGCGCGCACTGCACCGTGGCGCTGGTGATGGCGCCGTTCAGGAACGGAATCTGCAACCCGGGAGAAACAAAGTTCGTAAACAGGGACGCGGAGGGTGGAAATATACAATAGGTTAGCGATTTCCCTCCACCGGGTGCCGTTGACGTTGGTTAGTGCTTACCCCAGCACAACTCACCGTCGCGTACAGGTTGACGCGCAGCTTGGTGTCGTCCAGGCTGGTGGGCAGCATCTGGTTGTTCCTCATCTTGTCCAGCTCGACGGCGGGCCGCGCCAGGTGCAGGCGCAGCACGTCGCGCAGCGCCGCCTTGTTCTTCTCCTCGCCGAGCTTGCCGATGAAGTCCGTCAGCAACTCGCCCTCGGGCGAGAGCATGGCGGCCTTGTTGGGCACGAACAGCGTCACGTTCTGGGCGGCGTCCACCTCCTCGAGGAGGTCGGCCTTCTCCAGCAGGTCGTACCAGTGCGTCAGGTTGCGCGACTTGAGCAGCTGCGACACCGGCCGGGCCGAGTCCGGCAGGACGACGTCGTCGAGCAGGTGCAGGACGCCGTTGGAAGCCATGATGTCGTGGGGGCCGAGCTTGACGTCGTCCAGGGTGAACACGTCAACGTCGGCCGGCACCCTCCTGAGCATGACGAAGTCGCCGTCCAGGGTCTGGGCACTGACGCGCATCCTAGCCGCGTCCGTGCACACCGTGTGCTTGGCCAGCAGGTGGCTCACAAAGGCTGGACGGGGAGCACGATAGAGAAAAGTGAGACGCTGTCGGTCGGGACCGAACCCGCCGCCATCGAGGCCGCCACGCTCCAGCCCGGTACTTACCCCCAACACAGCCCTCGCCGCTCAGCAGCTTGAAGCGCATCGCCGGGTCCATCTTGTCGAAGGCCTCGTCCGTGGGGAAGAAGGCCGTCAGCGGCGACGTCGTCTTGAGCGTCTCCATCAGCCCGGCCTGCTCCACCACTGCGAACAGCAAACCGTATCAGATGCCGCCGACAGTGTCCCGACACCTCTCCCTCTATCCCTGTACTAGTACGCACGTCTTTTCATGGTGGAGAGGCGAGGGTCGACGTGCAGCAGGTGGGCGATGGTGCGCTCGGCCTTGACGGGCCTCAGCACCTTCTCGACCTGGTACACCATGCCGCCCACGGCGGGCCGCTCCTGCGTGATGCGCGCGCAGTTGGCGGTCACGGTGCGGCCCTTGGGGCCCGTGGCGAACACGTTGAGGCGGATAGTGGTGCCGGCCGTCGTGTTGAGGATGTGGTCGTTGCGGACCTCGAGCAGGTCGACGAGGCCCTCGACGCGGTGCGCGCCCACCAGGGTGGAGTCCGGCAGGTCCGCCAGCTCGTTGTCCAGGGGGTCCTTGGCCTTGGCGGCGTTGATCCGCCAGCCCTTCTTCGGCACCACGGTGTTGTCCTTCCTCTCGGCCTCGTCCACCTTGGGCTCGACCTCCGCGTCACCCTTCGGGACCTTCGGGGCCTTCGGGGGCGCAGTCACCGCGTCGTCCATCTTCGCCTCGGGCACCGCGTCGGTGGTCTCGTCGTCCGAGCGCGCGGAGAAGTCTTCGGGCACCGCGGCGTCGGGGCGGAGGACGGTGTCACTACTGGAACACGAAGCAGCACTAGCACGCTGCAAGAATGGCAAGAGTGGGGCTCAAACCAGCTCTCGGTGCTCGCCTACCTCTGGGCCATGGCGACGGGCATCGGCAGTGGTTCGTGCTCGGGCTGTCCTCTGACGGGCAAGGTGGCGGGTGCCTCGGGGGCCTCCTCGTCGGACACCATGACGGGGACGACGGGGTGCGGGCCGAGCGCGCGGCGCACGCGGTTCTGGTCCAGGATGACGTCATAGTAGTCCTCCATGGCGTCGTTGGTGGGCACGAACAGCGTCGCGTTCCCGGCCAGCTCCACCACGCTCTGCGCCCCGGACGAGACGACCATCTTGGAGAAGACGGAGCCCAGCTCGCCGGCCGTGTCCAGCATCGAGCTCATGTCCACTGCCAACAAACGGGCGCGTCAGGCTATCATCCTCCCTCTCTGCACCGGTGATCACCCTGAAGACCTAAACGCCTTTGTTCTTGTCGTTTCCGCGGTCACGCTTTCCTGCCCGTTTTTCATCTGGCGCGTTCCGCGGAAACGGAACGGCAAACGGCACGCCGGTCTGGCCGCGCCGCGACGTCGCGACATGACAAAAGCGCTCTCAAGCTGTCACAACAAGCCGTTTTCCTTCTTGTTTTTGTTCTTGTTTTTAGCGGCTCGCGCTGCCTGCCTGCGATCTTATCGGCTCCCTTATACTTACCCAGTTTGCATCCGGATCGGCCGTACTCGCGGCGGGCGCCGTGGCAGCAGCGGTACGTCGTCACCACCTTCTTGCGCACGCCGTGGTGCGCGGACCTGCCGACATTCAAAACACCAAACACATTTAACAATCCGCCACATGCATGTCGGGTGCGTGATGCACGATGGCGGCGCCGCGACGCTCGTTTTCGTTTTCTCGGCGCTGCGGAGACAACGAGCATCGCGCTCTAGCGTCTGGTTGCCACGGGTTGGCACGCCACGCCGCGCTTGTCGCGGTTCCGCGTCCTGGACATGCCGGTCGTCGTCGTGCCCAGCGGGGCCGCCTCGTCTACAAATTCCCTCTTCTTTTTTGAGGCATGAATTGAGGAAAAAACCTAACCCAACCTCACCTGGTGGTGCATTCGTAGGTGGTGGGGGTCTGCGAGCAGCTGGAGAAGTGGAAGTCCTGGAACATGCCGGGCATGAGCCACGACTGCACGGACATGGACGAGCTGTGGTCCTCGGGGCTGGAGTCCCTCGAGTCGCTGGAGTCGCCGCCGTCCTCCTGGCTCGAGGACGCCGACGAGGAGGCCTTCTTGGGGGTCTCGTCGGTCTCCTCTCGCGTGATGCAGACATTGGGTCTGGAAAATAGACAGCAACCGTGACGCTCCCAGGCGTGGGTCCGCGGCGAAGCCGCTTGAAAGGTAACAGAAAAGTCGCACTTTGCCCAAGTAGGCAACTTTTGCGACATCGCCCCACTTCCCCTAAACCACACTGGATCCGCCCCTGGACGCTCGTGTTGATAAAACCGGACTTCTACGGTCCAATCGGGTTCGGTCCCGGGAAATGGCCATGTGCCTCCGGCTCGGCTGTCGTGTGTCGCGAGGGCGAAAATTGACTTGGACGGTGGCCTGGCCAGGCCAGTTCGGCGAACGCAACGCCATGACGTGGAGCCCGCGCGACGCCCTAATCACAAGGGGCCCGCAGCAGCGCAGCTTGATTCAGAGGGCCGTTTCCGTCGCTCTGTCGCCCATGGGGCGTCCCGTGGTCCCGTATCGGCGCGAGAGAGGCAGAGCGACTCTCGGAATCAGGCTGCTGGACTCCCTGGACTCTGCGGCTCCGAGAAGTTCGACGAATTGCACGCGCAGTTTCGCCGTCACGCCTGACGTCACGGCGGTCGCGGACCGTGGGCCCTGCCCTGGAGTCGCTCCTTGACGCAGCAGACTGAGAGTCGATTTCGTCGCTCTCTCTCGCACTGACGGGGCGTCCCGTAAAGGTGCGAGCGAGACAGAGCGATGAAAACGACTCTCGGAATCAGACCGCTCGCCGAAATCCCGGTGCCCCGGTCCACGCCCAGCCGTGTGACGCAAGGGCCTCCGATCCCAGCACGACGAAGTCTGAGTGACTCCTAGACGGTTGTTGTCAAAACTTGGCAGCTCGTGCTGGAAAATTCTACGGCCCTCGCCTCGGCAGCCCGGCCGCAGAAAGCTCGGTGCGGAAAAGAGTCCCTGCTCGTGACGGCTTGTCCCTGAGAGACAAAGCCTTCGGCGGCGCAGGGGGGCAGAGACGGGAGACTGCGGGCCATGGACGCCATGGACGGCGGCGATGATTCATAGGGGGGCCTTTTGTGGACGGCCTGCGTGCGCAGAGTGGCGACTGTACACACACGAGCACAAACACCCACCAGGAAAAAATACGCCTGTTTTTGACGTGCGCATGGACGTGCGAGTGTGGCGCTGGAAGCCGAGGGGCCTACCTAGGCCCCGAGCCTTGTCAGGACCGTCAGGACCGACGGGAGGAAGGGCAGCGCCGTCTATCCCGTAGACACCATTAGTTTCGTCTGCAGCATGCTGATAGTGCGGTGGCGCCTAAAGCTGGCCTACCCCAAGGACTCCAAGGCCCACGACGGCGAGGCGAGCAGCCTTGCGCGGCGAGGCCCGACGTCGGGGTCACCCTGACTTTGACATTGGAGGACAAGGAGGGGACAGGGCAGGCAGCAGAGGGGCTGGCTAAACGAATCAGGACGGCGTCGACGCCACTGTGTCCGCCGCGGGTGCAGGTGCAGGCGGGGGCGTGAGCGGGGCGGGGCGGGGGATGACTGGTCGACGGGATGACGCGCGGCGCGCGCAGCCTGGCCAGGGCCTGGCTCCGCGCCGCGTCAAATGTGATGGCTGATGGCTGGTTTCCTCATTAGTGCGGCGGCGGGGCGAGGGCTGAAGAGAGCCGCGAAGCCCCGCAGTGCCCCACGCCACCCCGCCCGCCGCCACGGCACTGCTTGCCCTGCCATCGCCGCTCCGCTGTGAACGTGCGCTGTGTGCGAGCAGAAGGGAGTCAGCCGGGGCGGTGCCGGGGCAGTACCGTTCCGTTTGCCCACCGCCTTGCCCACCGCCTTGCCCACCGCCTTGCCCACCGCCTTGCCCACCGCCTTGCCCACCGCCTTGCCCACCGCCTTGCCCACCGCCTTGCCCACCGCCTTGCCCACCGCCTTGCCCACCGCCTTGCCCACCGCCTTGCCCACCGCCTTGCCCACCGCCTTGCCCACCGCCTTGCCCACCGCCGCGGCCGGCGGCATGGGCTGGGACCTCCAGGACGTGACGGCGGATGGGCGGAAGCGCTGGAAGACACCGAGTCCATGGGAACGAGAAATAACGCCGGCGGCACCAGAATCATGATTTCGAAATTGAATGGGAAAAGCTGTCCAAAATGGGAGCGGTTGGCCGGGCTTCCGCCTCGGCGTGCCTCGGCGCCGACCCGGCCGGCGCGGCGGCTTGACGGCGTGGTCGCGACGCCGGCGGTGTGGTGTGCGCGGTCGTCGCCGTGCTCGGGAACCTCGAGGCCGTTATCCCGTGCGACTCGGCGCGCCCCGCCCCGCCCCGCCCCGCCCACCCGTTTATGGAAATACTTTCTCTGCTTTCGAATGCTCTCGAAAGACTCGAGGGCGCGGGCCCGGCGGGCCGAGGCGCTCGGAAAGCGCACCGCGCCGCCAGCAAGCGAAGCCAGCACACAAAGCAGGACGAGCCGCCGCGGTGGAGGAGGGGCGCCCTGGTCAAGGGCTCCGCCATGGCTCCGTGCTGCAGCCCGTCGAGTGGGTGCCCGACCCGGGGGCCGTGTGCCGTGCCGGCGAGTGATGGTACACCGCGATGACTGGCGGGGCCTTCACGCACCGCGGCCACACAAAAAAGGAAGGGGGAGGGGGGCTGGCAAGCGAACACACACTGCAGGTAACTGCAGGTAGATTGGCAGTGCACACACGAGCCTTGCGAACAACGCGCTGCAAATCGGCAAGCTGCATTTTCGCGGTGCAGGCGCTCGTTGGCCTTTTGTCCGGCCGCTCCCAGCCCTGTGGTTAGTTTTCGATTAGAGCAAAAGTAGCGGCCTGCTCTCGTCGCGGGTCACCGCCTTCGACGACGGCCGCCCCCCTCGGGCCCCGCGGCCCCCCTCGGCGGCCCGCAGCGCGCACGCGACCAGTTGGGGACTTCCCCTCCACCGCGGCGACCGCGGCGGCGCACCAGCACCGGGTACCAGCACCCAGCACCGCCGCCATGTTCCGCGCGCCTTGCGCGTTCAGAATTGATTTGCGCCGTGGCCGCCGTGGCGCACGCCGTCGTGCTGGATGGGGGGGATGCACGCGGAATGACAAACGACTCGCGTGCGCAAAAACGACACTTCTCGAACACTTCGCAAACCGCGCCGCGAATCGGCACATCGTCTCATCGTCATCTCGCGGTGGACTTTTACGGCCCACTGGCACCGTAAAAAGAGAACAAAGACACACCGTCCGATGTATTTATTGTTCCCTACAGCCGACAACGGGCCGTCCGCAAAGCGGCAAACCCCGCAAATCAGGTCTCTGCCCGCCCCCTTGCGGCCTGCGGAAAAAAACAATTTTGCCGTCCTCTCCCCCAGGGAAGGGAAATAGTCACACAGTTCTGCTGTGCCGCGGCCGCTACGGACTCTAGCTTCCTCGAGTCGAAAAGCACGCGGATGCCCGGACCACCCGGACCAGGTTGAACCAGCCGGCAGCTAGCGCCGTGGCAGCTGCGGGCTCCTTCGCTATTACAGGTACTCGTACTGCGCACGCCACGCCTAGCCACGCCTGCTGCGGCCCGCAGCACCGAGTGCTTATCGCACTCCATGTGCAGGGCGCGGCGCGGCGCGGCGCCACGCCGGACCAGCCACCGCCATCGGGGCGATTCCGCGTGCCGCGGGGGAAGCACCTGGAAGCACCTGGAAGCACCTGGAAGCACCTGGAAGCACCTGGAAGCACCTGGAAGCACCTGGAAGCACCTGGAAGCACCTGGAAGCACCTGGAAGCACCTGGAAGCACCTGGAAGCACCTGGAAGCACCTGGAGGCACCTGGAGGCACCCGCGGGCCTGGAGCCTCGGGTACCTTGTGGGCCGCGGGTGGAGGGAGGGAAGGGGGAGCGAATGGGCCACGCAACGCAACAGGACGAGGCAGTGGAGGCAGCGGAGGCCAGCGACCCTTCTCCAGGGCGCCGGCCCGGACGACGTCAGGTCGGACGCGTCAGACGACCGCCCCACCCGTTCGAGGTGAACGCGAATTAGTACTTGTACGTCATCGGCATCGAACAGCCAGCTTGCCGGCGGACCGTCACCGCGTCACTTTGTCCCTGCCCAGTGTGTGACTGACTTTCTTCGGGGCTTTCCCCGACGGTGACGTCACCCCCACCTACGAATAGGCAGCCGGAGGCAGCGACGGACAACGGAAAAAAACAGAACAAAAAAAAACCGCTCACCCGCGAAGGCGGAGGAGCAACTTTCGACGCTGTCGCTGTGAAGCTGACAACTGACCCGTCGGACCAGATATAAATACGAGGGGCGGGCGTACGCGGGGCTTTGAACCCGGGGCCTCATTGCTTTTTGTGTTGTTGTCAAGTAGTACGCTTGGGGCGGCGGCAGCCACCGGCAGCCCGCCAGGCGAGGACTACTAAAGCGAATCTTCTTTCTTCCCTTCCCGGAGCCAGGGGCCCAGGGGCCCAGGGGCCCCGACCGCAGCCCGGGCCCCCGCCTCGACATAGCGGTACGGAGGCCCCGTCCCCCGGCCAACCCGGCCTGTGCCCCGCCCGCTGTTCTTCACTACCTTGCGAAGCGGGCGAGGCGCCTCTCACAAATGTAGCTTTCAGCGGCCCGGGGCCGCCTAGGGCCGCCGGCCAAGATAAACACGGCGCCTTGCCTTCTTCGACTCTTCGTGAGCCGGGCGGAGGCCTGGTAGGCCTGGAGGACCCCGCCAGGTAAACAGACATTCCTAGAGAAATGAGCCCGGTCGTCGTGCGCCTCTGGCAGACTGGCAGCGCACCGCACCGTCTTTCACTCTTTTCTTGCCTTATCTGCCCTTGTTTCTCGTTTCCGGCTGCGAAACTCGCCTGTCAATCGTCGAGGTTCCGTCTTTTCGTCTTTTTCGAGGCGCTGGGGACACTTTCCTGACAATGGGCAATGATTCTAACTTATATCCATCACCGGCACATTTTCGTACTCACCCCTTCCACCAAACGGATGAGAACGAATCGAAGAGCGAATGAATGGGGAACAGCATTGGGCCTGGTCCAAATGAAAAGTACTTGTAGTTTGAGGTTCACACAGACGTCCATTTTTAAAATGCGTCACAGCAATTACCTGCGGGGAATGCGGCGTCGCCGTCGTCGCCGTCGTCCTCCTCCTCCGACGAATCTTCGTCCCCCTTCTCGTCCGACATGACGCCGGAGAGGAGGTCCTCCTCGTCGTGCTGCTCGGGGGGCTCGTCGGGACGCTCGTCCTCCGCGGAGGCGGGGCTGCCGTCGGGAAGGACCCCGGGCACCCCTCGCAGGGCCTGCTGCAGGGCGGGGTGCAGTCGCATGGGCCGGCCCAGAGCAGCCTGCTGCAGGCCGCGGAATCTGGACACGCACACAAACACAACGCTCGCGGTCAGAAAAAGGAAAGGAAGGCGACATTCGCGCGGCAGTTTGAAAAGTCGCGCCTCGCGCGTGCGCACTTGCCGCGCGCTCCGCGGGCTTACCACGCGGACTCTGTGCGGCCGGCTCGGCCCCCTCTACCATCCGGCCTCGGTAGCGCAGTAGGCAGCGCGTCAGTCTCATAATCTGAAGGTCGTGAGTTCGATCCTCACCCGGGGCAAATCTTTTTGAGTAACTCCGTGAAGTAGGCTCAGACATTCTACAGGAAACGGTTTGGCGATCTTTTCGAGATGTCATTTTCTCATTTCAACCGTTCAACTTGGATTCGTAGGGTTGGAGTCAAACTCCTCTGTAGAGTTCGAGTCACGGTGTCCATGCGGTCCTTGTTTTTACAGCAGCACTGACGGACGGACTTGCGTTGTGATGCAGTACAGACCCCAAATGTAGAGCACCATTTGTGGTCCAGGAAGACACTCCAGGACTCTAGCTAGGGTGACACCTTCCAGACAACCTAGTCTGCATGTGACACTCGCGTCACTCCGAGCGAACACACACTCACCCCTCTTCCAGCTGCGTCCAGATACTGTGCCCGTTGAGGTCGGCTAGGCTGGGCTCGGCGGCGTTGGCTGTCGTGAGACCACAGCCGATGACGGCCGTGGCCAGGAGGACGACGCAGGACACGCGCATGGCGCTGCGATCAACTCGGAGAAGGACCACTCGCTGACGTTTCTGCTTCGGCGTCTCCAACATGAATGCCCCCGGCCTGGCTGGCTGGCCGGCGAGCTGCGGCCCGGTGCGCCGCGCGCCGCTGTGGAACGTAGGCCGGCAGGGCGGGGCGGGGCAGGAAGGGGGCGCCAGGGGGGAGGGGTGGGGAGGGGGGCGCTCAGCTGTTGGTCGTGGTCGCTGTTGTGCTTGGTGCGCTCTGCGCTCGCGGCACGAGCGAAGTACGAGGACTTGTCCAGGCCAAGAGAGAGGGGCGAGGAGAGAGAGGGCGGCCCACTAGACCGCCACTGCTCGCGGTTTGCGATGAGTTTAGCGCCTCTCTCTGTGTCTCTCCCTGTCTTTCCCCGCCCCCGTTTCCTCAGAGTTCAGCAGAGCAAGTCGGTCGCCCTTCCCCTTCCCGCCGAGCGCGCGGTTCCACAAGAAGACATCGAGGCTCACGCTCTGGCAATCCTGTTCGTTCTAGAAGTACAGAGGACTAGAATCGCAACAAAAGGCACGCCTCTCTCGGGTTTTGACTGTTTTGGCATGTGGCCTCACAGAACTATGGAAAGATAACAAGGCCGTTTGACGCATTTGAAGGATGTTGAGCGGTAGCTAATGAGCCGCGTCCCGATGGCCTCTTGGTGACGACTCCGTTCTCCTTCATCAGCCATTAGGCCCATGTCATGTCGCCCATGGAGGGCCAGGGCCAGGGCCTGGTGAGCTGGGTCCCAATCCGCAATGGGGCGCTTCCTGCTCTCCAGTGCCGCACCGTGGAAAACACCGACCCACATCAGGGGTCGACGACGGGGAACCTTCTGGCTGCTTCTGGCCCCGTATCAATGACCAGCTGTTGATGGGAGGACCTCGGCGACTCAAGCCGAGAGGGGCTTGGGGCTTCTAGAAAAATGCCTCCCCTCTCGTCCCGTTTTTCTCCGGGCCGCCTGATGAAAGTTGATCCTCAGATCGATCCTGGAACTGGCTATCTTTGGGGGCTTCCCCATTGTGACGGTATTTAAGATGTGGTGGGGTGGCGTGGGGAGAAACAGAAGTGGGGTACAGGTAACAGCAATGTATTTCACAGATAGAATACATTGAAACATTAGCAACAGGGAAGTTCACCCTTCCAGGTTTAGTTAACTTTCGTAGCTTCGGTGGCATATTCAGGAGCTGGTTGGAATTTGGTTTGAGATGGAATCATATGATCATTCTGTAAAATAAATCATAAGTTACCAAAAAAACATAAACTTTAAAAAAATGTTTAAATTTTTGTACTTACAAGAAATTTGGCTCGATTTTCCAGTATACCATATGCATAATGATTCAACTAAAAATGAAAAAAAAAGTTTTTGTTTAAATTTACTTGAAGATGGTATTGATTGTACCACAATCATATTATGATAATTACCTTGTGCCCTATTGGTAACGCTACACCCTGAAATCGAAACAGCTGATCATCTTCAAGGTAATGAACCTAGAAAAAAGGAAAACATAGACAAATATTTGAATATTCTAGTTTTAATTAACTGAAATCTGATAAATGAAATTCTAGAGCAATTACGTACAGATGCTATAGTACAACGCCCAAGTAGGCCAGTGTGGTTCATCATTGGACCACGACTAATATCTACATGGTCACCAACTCGATAAACCACCACTTCATTATCTAATGAAGACGAAATACAGATTTAAAAGATTATCTATAATTAGGAGGAAACTCAAAGCTGAAGTAAGGCAAGTACTCACGATTCTCAAAAATATTGCCTATATGAACCCGTTTATATGGGTTGTCAGAAAACATATCCTCTGCAATCTCTCTGCTGACAGAAAGATACTCAAAAGGTAACTCCTCTCCTGATAATTTTACCATGTCTGCTGAAAATGACCGCAGCTCCTCTGGTGAAGGATTCCAGGACTCAAGTCCAACAAATGCATCCAGTATGAAGCTGCCACTGTAAACTAAACTCCAACTAGTACATATTTTGTTGAAAACATTGAAAACTGTAAGTCACGGTGTGGTGCTTACCATTAGGTGAAGGAAAACTGTGCAAGATTACAGCAATGTCATCCCTAAACGCTTTTGAAACCACTGCGCCTAGCATAAAGGAGCATGATCGCCAAAATGTGTTGTTGGCTATCCAAGGATTTTTGTCTGTGGTTTTCAGGAACTGTAATCGACAAGAACTTGAAAGAGGCTTGTGCATGTCCCATGGCTGATTTGGATTTGAGTCAGTATTAACGAGTGCAACAAATGCGTTCTTGGTCAAATGCCCCGATATGTCTGCAAGCAAGATAAAACTACATGCTGACTTTGAATAAAATGAAAACATCAATTATAAAATATCAACACTCACGTTTCGCACAATCGTGAGGAGTAGAGATGTCTCGATTCATCAGAAGCAACTCATTGCCATAGTCTGACGTGACTTCCACCTCTATCTTATTGATACGTCCCACAGCTTCATGTTGTCTTTTCTTTTCTGCAGTGAAAATTGCTGAGCGACGAAGGGTATCATTCAAGAGGGGAGTTGATACAGAAAAACCTGTGAGTTTCAAAATAACGTAAGATATGCAAGTGTTTGGGCAACATAATGTTAAAAACTAGTGGTACTCACTGCGCGTAATACTTTCATGATGGCTTTTGGGAAGTACCCACCGACCAACCCTACCAAAACGTTGAAGACTTTGACATAAAGTCATTGCTCTCTCATGAAGAATTAAAACAATATCGTCTAAATTAAGACGTATTCTTGTTGTGTCCTTAGGTTAATGTTCGTAGTACATGTGCATACAGTGCAGACGCCGGAGACCTGTGAATACTGAAAGAAACTGCGAATAACAGTGCATTGGCAGGCATACCAGCACTAAAAAAACAAGGCAGTAGATAAAATATCGCAAAACGGGAGAACTTTGAATGAAAATAATCATTTCGAGCAATCCCAGGAAAGTCTAGCGATTTGATCGTTTCATTCTACGCACGATTGAACGACACAGCATTACTTTACTCTTTTCACCTTTTTTTTTGTGTACGTGAAGTAGAACTCGAGCTGCAAACAGTAAACAAAAAGATTTTTGTTTCAGCGAGGGTTTTTGAACACCAAGGAGCTTTCTGGTCCCACTAGCTTTAAACCTGTATCTTGAAACGTGACTAATTTTTCCACACTCATCCACTCAAGTGAGTTTTGTTTTATTGATCTCAACTCTCTTCTCTTATTGAAGGATGACTTCAGTTCCTAACCCCAACAGTTCTAGCCAGAGCAGACGAAAATTTACAAAGTTATTTGTCTCAAAACTATTTTGCCAACTAATGAATTCACTCTAATGTATTATAGTGCTAAAAAACAAAATAATCAAGTATTTTTATAAAAAATTCTGTCTTCTTGTTTGATTTTAATCAAATGAAGTGCTGTTTAAATGTTGTTCCAGTGGAGTCTCACGGTGCAGACATCAACACTAGCCCAGATTTCCTGGACTCTCTTATGCGCTGCGGTCTTTACCTCGGCGCTTTCTTTCAACTCATTTGTCTGGCTGCGGTTGTAATGGCTCCAGACCGTTCAGGAGATTCATCTGTTCAGGGCAAGGTAAGCCTTAAGGGTATGCAGTATCTCTACTTAAAACCCTTCTTGTTACTGTTGTCTCATTCAATATTCCCACCTTAGGACTTGGATGGGAGTGACGACGAGGTATCGGATCACAGTACACCTCAAGCTACACCTCGTCGCCCTCCTCATGGCCACCATCGTCAAAGAAGACAGGAAAAGAAAAAGCGGCGTTAACAGTTTTTCCAAAACACATGTTGTGCTGGAATGTTTAAGCTACAAGTTTCCAGCATTTTTTGTATAGGTTCTTTTGATTTATTGTGATATTTTTCTTTCAAATACTTCTCTTGTTCATACTATTTATTTGTGTTAATTTATTCCAATAATTATGTGCATTCCCTGTATCGTAAGTTTTCTTTGTTTTTGTTTTGATAATAAAATCTTATGAATAGAACTTCTGCTTGTTGTTGCAAATTAACCAGCAGCCCAGTCGCCACTCATTGTGAGCATGTTCATGGAGACACTGTGTGTCTCTATGGGAAGTATCATTTTAGAGAAGAATAAAAACAGATGAAGCCCAGCAAAATTGAGTGGCTCTGACATTTCTTTGCTGTATGTAAGGCAAAAGCATAAATCTTGGGCAGGGAAGACCTTCTTTAAACTTCAAAAAGACCGCTCCTGCTCGAGCCGCGAGTTTTCATCCCAGCAGCGTCCGTTTCCGTTCCGTTCCGTTCCGTCCTCCAATAATGCCAAGATGGCGGGATTTGCATGATCCTTGTAGCAGACGGTTGTTTTGAACCTCTTTTTGTTTCATTTTTGTAATTTCTCTATGTGGAGGATGACTTATTCGTGTGGCGTTGGTTGCAGTTGAATTATATTCATCATCTGATAGTTATTTTTACAAGTGACAAACAATGTTTAGAAGTCGGAGCTGGTTTGGAGTTGGTTTGTGGAAGCCTAAGAACCCTCATTCATTGGACCATTTAAAGTAAGCCTCTGTGATAATTCTCGTGAACAGAAATACCATTGAACGAGCTCCTTAAGATACACCTATTTCGATTATTTAAGTGTTCATCTGACGGTCGAGTAAACTGGCTGTCATATCTAGTTTTGTAGGTTAGGCATCTGTCACATCAATAAAGAATAGTCATTGATTCAGTGTAGATTTGAGCTGTAATTTTATTCTTCCAAAAAAATTTCATTGGTAATAGGAATTTGGAAATAATTCCTTTGTTTTTTAATAATCTCTGTTTCTATGCTCATGTATCCATGACTAAGGTTCAAGGTCTCATGTGCATCAAATGTCAACAACACTTGCCAACATGATTGTATCAAATTTTCACTCATAGATGAACAATATGTTTACTTCTTAGCATATTTTTACATGTTCTACAGAATTGAAGCAGATTATCCTTTTGTGAAGAGAGAGATGAGTTGTTATCTTTTATGTTTTTAGGTACTTGTATAATGTCCTATCTAAAAATCAGACAGTGTCTGAAAGCAATCGAGGACTTCTAGTGGAAACACTACGATCAATTGCTGAAATTTTAATTTGGGGTGACCAAAATGATAGCAGTGTATTTGAGTAAGTTTGCAATATTTTCATATTGAATATTTTCAGTGTTTCCCTTCCTGTTTCTGTTTGAAATAATTATTTTGACTCTTTTCTGTTCCAGTTTCTTTCTTGAAAAGAATATGTTGTCATTCTTTCTGAAAATAATGAAACAAAAATGTGGTAGCTATGTTTGTGTTCAACTTCTACAGACACTCAACATATTGTTTGAAAATATTCGAAATGAAACATCACTGTGTAAGTAAAACTCCCACTCACATGTACAGGAATTGGGACTTACCGATCTTGTTGGATCACAATCCATGTATTTCTCTCATTTGTTCTAGACTATCTCCTGAGTAATAATCATGTCAATTCAATTATCGTGCACAAGTTCGATTTTTCTGATGAGGAAGTTATGGCATATTACATTTCATTCTTAAAGACACTGTCACTAAAGCTCAATGGCCACACCATTCATTTTTTCTATAATGAGGTAACACATTTTGATACAGAGCATATGATTTTCTCTTTCTCATGTGTGGTATTGCATGTGATTTACGCTCAATTTTATTTTATTTTCTAGCATACCAATGACTTTCCTTTATATACAGAAGCAATAAAGTTTTTCAATCATTCTGAAAGTATGGTACGAATTGCTGTTAGAACACTTACATTAAATGTCTACCGAGTTGAAGATCGGTCAATGTTGAGATTTATTAGGGATCGTACAGCCGCACCATATTTTTCTAATCTGGTCTGGTTCATTGGCAATCATGTTCTGGAACTGGATGCTTGCGTTCGCAATGATGCTGAGTAGGTCTTTGTTTGATTTTCTTGCATGTAAATGCTCTAAAGTGACCTTTACATAACTCCCATGTTTCTTCCCAACAGTCATCAAAGTAAAAATCGTTTGGCCGATCTGGTTGCTGAACATCTTGATCACCTTCACTACTTGAATGATATACTCTGTCTGGGTATTGCTGATCTTAATCAAGTTTTGACAGACCATCTGCTGAACAAACTCTTGGTTCCTCTCTATGTGTTCTCATTGGATAGACAAAAGACGAGATCCTCATCACCTAAGGTAAAGACTATTTTTGTAATAGGGATAATTATTGAATATTTTATTTCTGCATCTTTAATTAATTTTTTTTCTTTTTACAGAATTCTCAGCCTTATGTTAGCAGTGTAGTGTCATTATTTCTTCTGTCCCAAGTCTTCCTTATACTTACACATGCTCCTCTCGTGGACACATTAGCCAAAATTATCCTTCATGCTGATCGACTAATTTTTAGCAACTCTTCGACCCAGGATAAAATTGTCCTTCTTCAACAGGTATACTTTTAAAATGTTGTAAATTTTTAATTTTTTGGACAGTTGAATAAAACTGTTATATCGTCTCCGGCAGGGTAAAGCAAGTGTCATTCAGCCGGGCTTCTTGCCACCCACAGAATCCTTAGAAATTTCATTAGAAATCTCTCTGGATGTTTCCTCAAGATCTATGAGTGCCGATAGTGCTGAGTTAGCTTCACCGTGCACCTCAGAACCTCGTTCAAGACAACGTAGGTTGATGACACGTAATGTTTGTTTGACGTGACAGTAGGGCTCACTAATCTTTCTCCTCTTTGTTCCAAAGCCTCCCTGGACGATGGAACTGGTACCACTGACAAAGGCTCTGAGGAAAAAGTGGACCATGATAAGGACAATACAGAGGCAAATTTAAACATAACTGATGAAGAAAAACATTTACTCAAAGTTCTTGGTGAGCATATGAAAATATTACCTTTACTTGTACCATGGGGTATAATCATCTCATGCTTGTACAGTCAAATTCTTTCAAAAATGATAAACCTGGTAGCCCTGTTGTGATCCTTAATTCTTTTATTTTTCCAGAGTGCCAATCAGGTCCATTGGCCTGTCCCTCATCCACCTGTGGAGATAGTAATGCAGCCCCCAGTGAAGGGCCCTTGCTCTTGAGTCCCGAAGGTCCGGTGCCTCTTGCTCAACCTCTGAGCAACCAGCCCTTTATAGAGTCAGTTTATAATGCCTTAAACTGTCAAGAAAATGACTATGCTGCTCTCTTTGCTCTTTGCCTTCTTTATGCACTTGGTAAAAACAAAGGTGTTAGTGGAGCTTTGTTGCATGGGGTATTGTACCCTTGTCAAAGACCAGATACACCCTGTACACCACTGTTGAATCGATACAACTTGTCGTTGGTGGAAAAAATCGTGGCTATAATCACTTTAAGCTGTCAACCTAGTAAGCACCTGTGTTCTTTTTGTTTAGTTTCAAATGTTACAGCACTTTAAAAATAAATAAATTGGAAACCTATCTCAAATGTTGCAGGTGCGAAAGTGAGATTGGTTACTCTTGAGCTGACAATAAGACTTCTGACTCAAATTGTCATGAATGCAAATGTAAGCTTTCTACAAGATGGTCATCTTGCTGCTATTGAAGGTGCTAAGGAAGAAAGTAGTTCAGTTCTAAGAAATTTCTACAAGGTAATAGCAAGTTTTTCTGTAAGGGAAAACAGTGTATGTAAAAACAATGTTTAATTAATTTCCTAATTCCTACAGAGTGAGGAAATTTTTTTGGACATGTTCGAAGATGAGTACCATCAAATGAAAAAAAAGCCACTGAATGTTGAGTGGCTAACCATGGATTCAAATGTGCTGTTACCACCCACAGGAACACCACTGACTGGCATTGAGTTTGGGAAACGCTTACCATGTGGTGAAGTATGTGTTAAAGCATGGAGTGCATTGTGATGTGATTTTTCCTTCAGACTTTACATCACCCTTATTTTGTTGTAGGTTGAACGCGCCCGTAGAGCTATACGTGTTTTCCTAATGGTGCGAGACTTATCATTGGTGCTTGGAATGGAGTCAGAGCGAGCTTTGCCTTTAACAGACTCTTCAACTTGTGTCCAAGTTGACCATGTGTTAAACTTAAGTAAGACAATATAATTTATTGTTACATAATCAGTGTTCTAAGAAAATTTCTGGACTGCAGCCAATATCTTATTTAGTCAACATTAAACTTGCAATTCTATATTTCAGATAACAGTGATCTCATAGGATGCAATGTGGTCCTGAAGGATGGATCACGAATGCATCGTTTCCTTGTGATAGATGTGATTCAACTTATTTTAGTGGAACCAACCCGTCGTCTTGGATATGGTGTAGCTAAGCTGGTTGGATTTTTACAGGTCAGATTTTTTCCCATCATTTTCTATGATTGCAGCATCCTGTTTGTGTCATTGTATTGATGGTGTTTTTCTCTTAGGATATTGAAGTGACAGGGGACAAGGACGATTCCCGGTGCCTACACATCACCATTCATCAGCCTTTATCATCTGGAATATCCAAAAGAGTACCTTTACTTTCTGCTAAATTTATTTTTGATGACCATATTCGTTGCATGGCAGCAAGGCAGCGTTTAACCAAAGGTCGAGCAAAAGCACGTCAAAAAAAGATGGTTCAAATTGCACGTTTGTTGGATATTCCTGTCCCTCAGTCTACAGCATCAAGCTCTGCTGCATTTAATCTTCATGCAGCTCGTCGACAAGAATCTGCTTTAAGTAAGTTTAATTTCCCAGCAAATGTAAAAAAAAAAAAATTAAATAATATATTGTGATGATTGAATTTTTCTTGTGGAGGAGGAGGCATTAGAATAGCTGGTGGTCGAGAACAACGTCAAGTATACAATGCTCAAAAGTTACCTGGCCATGCTGCAGCTCTGCGTAGAGAGAACACACCATCTCCTAGCAATGCATCAAAATCACCTGGTAAATTTTCTCTGACTTAAGCATAGGGTTTGTGGTGTGCTTGCTTTTAAAGTAATCTTGTAATCTTGCATTTTCAGACCGAACTCGTGTTCGAGATTCAAGTCGGTCGAGAGAAGCATCTCCAAAGCCCATGCGTCCAAGAAGTGAAGAGATCCCTTTAGAAGACATAGCCAAAGTAAGTAAATCTGGGCTCCTGCTTGATGTTAGCCTCTTCTACTTATGTGTCCTTGCGTTACTGAAATGATCTGTGTTACCTGCTCAGGTTAAAGACCAGGGTTCCGTAAGCTTTAAGGATAATTCACCTCTTCTGCCTGTGCCAATGACATCGTCCATCCTAACATCAAACACTTCTACACTATCCCCATCTCATGTGTCACTTCAATCCTCAGCAATGAGCGAGTCTGCTGGTCCTTCAACTCCTTCATCACACTCGCCTGCTAAAGTATCAGAGGAAACATCATTTACCAGCAGAGCTTCTTCCCAGAACAGCAACAGTGGTGGACAAAGACGTCGAGGTCAAGTAGAAACAGTTTAGCTTGTCAGTTACTAAAACTCTCGGGTGACTTCTTTCCTGTAGGAGACTGAAATAATGTATATTTTGTTCAGTATTGAGACGAAAATACCTACACATCACATGTCTGTCAAACTGCTAATTTTGGGCTATTTCGTTTATTTTTATATAAACTGTATTGATTTTAAAATTTGCCTGGCATTCCAGTATTTGACACATGAGGCACTACATCCCAACTTTTTTTTATGTATTGTGTGACATATGTATTATGAAAAGAAACTTATTGTGCTCATATTTAGAATGATGCAATTTTATGAGGCTTGTTATCAAATATGTGATATTGTTCAAGCTTTTATAGGAATCAGATAACTTTTAACTAATGGTTGTGTTTTATTATTAGTCTGTTAAGTTTTGTACGCTGGTACGTACCATCGTGAATTAAAAATATGAAGAGTACTATTAAAAAAATTATTCTAATTCCAATCCAACTTTGTGCTCATGAATGCATTACCTATCATGTCAGAAAGATTGTTACAGATGAGAATACTGTTAGTGGGAGGATTGATGTCAATGTATATTTTATGGCGTAATGTCTGTTTGGGAGACTTGTCTGTCATTCATGCTTTCTAATTCTGGCATATCATAGCTTTGTCCTTTGAACTTTGTTGTGACTGAAAGCAGAGAACTCCTTTCATTTTGAGTTCATGAGCTTAGAAAAAGAACTTACTGCATGGCTCAAAGAGTAAGATACCTACCATCTGGTTCAGATAGTAGGACTGTTTTGGGTTAAAATGTTTGGAAAGTATATTGTTTTCATATATGAAAGCCAAGAATTTATTTTTATAAACACAAAAATGTCACTGTTAGTTCATTGTCAAACTCAACCTCTTGTTTCATTATTGTTATTTTATTCTTTTTGTATGTTTTTTAAGATCAGAAATGTGCAAGAATTCTGTTTGTTTGCTTTGAATTCCAATTAAAGTGATAAACTTCAAACAAGATATGATTTGTTTGTAAATCTTTCCCATTCAAAACTTATTTATTAGTCACTTTTTTTTTGCTTGAAATATAACTTTTTTGTACACATAGCTATTTTTTTCCAAATCCAGTCAATTAATTTTGGTTTCATTACAAACTTATAATGTACGAAGAAATTCTATTATCAGTTCTCTTGACCAACAACTTGGACACTTTTTTTTGGTACATACCAAGACGTTCCTTTCTAACAACTGGATCTGTTTACAGACAAAGAGGATCAGCTTGAACTAAACAAAGTGAGCATAGTCCACCATAGACGTTGAAAAAGTTCTGACAACAATACAACTATAATAAATATATTTATATGTACCGTATACTTTTTAAAGAAAGAAGATGGAATTTAAGATTAACACGCATCACAGATAGGTTGATTGTACAGAGATAAGATAAGATACATAGATCACAGCAGTGCTATGCTGGGAAGCACAGAGGAAGATAGGAAAAGTGACTAAGGTCTACAGTGAAAATTTCTTTGAGATAAATCCTCAAAGCCAAAGGTAGAAGTGGAAAAAAGTTAACATCTCCTTTTCAGATTTTTCAAAGTCCCACAGCATCATTAGCTTGGGTCTATTGTCCTAAAAGGTAAAGTTAGCGAGAACTTCAAATTTAACACAAACTTAATGACTTTTTCTTTACGCTTTTTTTCACATTCCCCAACCTTGAACATTTGTCAGCCCAGCTTTATTCTGAAACCTTAATGTTACCCTTAGAGCAATAGACATTTTTTCCAAATAATTTGATTGTCATTTTCAGCGTTCAACTCATTATTGTGTTTCTTAATTTAATGATGGAATACAAATAACGTAGGCACCCTGTACATCATACAATCCGAGAAAAAGTTCACCCAAAATCTATGTGTGTGCTCAGTTCACTCCTCGAGTCCCGTGCTTACAAGCGTACGTTTCGGCTTCGAGGCGTGTCCTTGCCCAATGACGCGCCTCAAAGTGGGTACTTGAATGAGCACGCGCCTCCAAGTGTGTACTCACTGAGTGCACACTTGGAGGCGCGTGCTTGGCATAGCCATGCCAGGCATAGGGACAAGCCTCCAAGTACGGCACTCATGAGTACACACTTTGAGGCGTATGCTCATTCAAGTACCCACAAGCAAATGGTTGTAATGAGCATGTGACTCAAAGAGTGTACTGAGTACACAAATAGGTTTTGTGAGCTGCTAATATGAATCGAATCACTTCTAAAATTCATAACTGTTTTAACCATATAAACTTGAACATGATAGGAGAACCTCATAATTATATTCAATGTGCTGAAAAGTGAAAGAGTGAAAAACAATGACAGAAAAGGTAAAGAGAAATCATAGTGAATGTCAGTCTATAATCAAGTAAAGAGGTAAGAAATAGGAGCTTTGTGCGTGAAGTGAAGTAATAAAAATGGAGCGAGAGGGAATCAAATTCATTCACAAAATTTGTGGGTATAAGTTTGAAGAATTAACATATACACACATGCTTTGCATACAAAACTTACATCAATTGTAAAATTACCTTGGTAGCTCACAAGAAAGTATACAACGACTAATATGGCTATGGCAAAATAATATCCGGACCTGTTTGGTAACACAGCAATTGCTAGACCTGCTGGGGATAAAAGTTTTGAGCTCCATGATTATAAATAATCTTTGCCACAAGAACATCACTAAGCTCTTAATTAAACATTGCCTTTGCCATATTAAATATTTTTGTGACCCAATCACATAAAAATCTATAAAAATGTATACAAATGATACAAATGACATTATTTTGATTTAAATTTTGTTGGTCAAGATACCTAAAACACAAAGAAAAACAATAAAAGGAAACAAATTTTTGATGAATTACATATAACTTTAAAATTACAATCAATGTACACAATACCTGCTTTTTCTTAGGAAGCTACACCCACCCACTAACGTCTCTGACCGGAATGCAAATTAGCAATGTTCAAATTTTATGTCAGCTCACACATTTAATTAGGAGCGAGCCTTGAGTCCCTGTCAACAAACTGAGTTCCTGCTTTCTCCTCCTATTATATTTACAACATATAAAGTAAGTACCTCACTAAAAATCACAAATGTGGCCTGCCTGGACCAGGCCCGGGCTTTCCCTTTGACTCCCAGAGGGAGGCTACAATGAACATGAACATGAAGACCATGATGAAGGTGCGGATGATGAGATTCTGATGATGGGATGAGATGAAGATGAGACTACTCTTCCCGACTGCTCTTGCACCGTCCTGGCTTTGCTTTGGCGCCGCTTTGACTAGAATATGGGCATCAGCCCCGCACCACTACCCCCTGCACTTCAGCGGCGGGGTTCTAGCTTCTGAGACAGGCTGGTCAGCGTCCTGGTGTTGTCGATGACTCGCAGGGAGGCGATGTACTCCTTGATGTCCTGCTCGCCTTTGGGGGAAAACGGCTCCAGCACTGCAAAGGAATTCAAAGGAAAGACGACTGTAGTGCCGAGTGGCGAGCGCGGTGTGGTCATGCGCGCGGTGGCGTGGAGGGTGGTGCTCACCGAGATGCCTGGACCGGCAGTTCCTGATGCTGCGCATGGTCTGCGCCAGCATGTGCATCTTCTCGAAGTTGACCAGCTTGCCGTCCGAGAACGTTTTGTTGCCCTCGTGGGTGAAGGTCATGTCTGGTAAAAAAAAAAAAGAAACAGGAGACCCAATTTTTATAAAGGTTATTCCTGAGTAAATAGGCCACACTTCCGAGCCCGCCCTATTCCAGTGCGCACTGCACCTGTTACAATTTAAACCCAGAGCTAATGGCTCCTCAGATTTTAAAACAATAACAACAAAAACATGTTGTACTACTTTGTCAGGGACTGCACCTTTGATGAGCAGCGGCATGAAGGGGATGATGGGCGGCGACAGCCGTCCCACGGCGATGCGGTAGGCGCGGTGGTTCCTGGTGGGGTCGATCAGGGCCTCCAGCTCGGTGAACAGCTTGCGCGACTTGGAGGGCAGCTTCTCCCACGTGAGGGACAGCCGTGACACCGCCACGTTGCCGAGGCCCATCACGATGGCGAACAGCGCGTTCAGGTTCTTGTAGTCGCGGCAGCTGCCAGTGGACAAGAAGACGGTCAACTCACGTTCGCCGGGCACTCCCGCATCATCCGCTAACTCGACTTACTACTGAGCCAGCTTGATCATCTTCCTGAGCACGGACACCCGCTTGGACAGCTGGGTCGCCAGGCACACTTCGGTGATGACCCAGTACTGGATCTCATTGAAACGCCGCAGGAACACATCCAAGTTGGCCGTGATCTGGTTGAAGCTCTGCCTGCCGAAGGTCTTGTACAGCAACTCGTACTGAAACGGGGCAGAGAGATGGTGAGCATGTTAGTCCGTCCGTAAACCACACGCCCAGTTTGCTGACCGCAGGGCTCACCTCGTGAACACTCCAGAACAGGTCCCAGTCGAACAGCGTCATGTGGTAGGCCAGTTCCTTCATGCTGAACAGCTCCAGGTCGATCTCGATCGCCTCCGTGGCGCCCTCCTGCTCCGGCAAGGGCGTCTGCAACACGCAGGAAGCCGCGGCAAGCGCACCACAGCGTGAGCGGGTGCGGGTTCGATTCCCGGCCGGGGCCGCCGCCCTCCGGTCATCCCACAGTGGGCCAGAAGAGCGGTGGAGGCGGCCAAAATTCTAGACGCGTTTTGAGCTCCAGAGGGTACAGGATTCGGACCAAGCGTGTGACCCCACCAATAGATAGCTCGTCCCGAGAGCAATCCATTGGTGGGGTCGCACGTTCGTTTTAAGTCCCATTTAGAGACTCTGGAGCTCAAAACGCGTCTACAGTTTTGGCCGCCTGCGCCGGTCTTCTGGCCCACTGATCATCCTTTCGCTCACCAGGGCGTCGATGTGCTCGCGCGGCGCCACGAAGAGGCGCGCGTTGAGGCCGCCGAGGCCGGTGGGCACGGACAGGTCGTTGTCGGGAATCACGATACGCTCCCCGGACGAGCGCACCTCCACGAGCACCAGGTCCTCGGTGGGGCCCAGCTTGAGCTTGTCCGCGGCCGACAGCTTGATGTGCTCGGCGGTGGAAGACACAGGGCAGCGCAGCGTGCAGTACGTGTGGTCGGCGCAGTACACGCGGAAGATGACTGCGGCGAGAAGAATAGAGTGAGATAGAGACAGGGTGAGCCCCCCGCTGCGCAGTGGGCTAGAAGACTGGCGCCGGCGGCCGAAACTCTAGACGCGTTTTGAGATCCTAAGTCGCTAAACAGGACGAACCGAGCGTGTGACCCCACCAATGGATTCCTCGTTCGGAGAGCAATCCATTGGTGGGGTCACTCGTTCGGTTCGAGTCCCTTTTGGCGACTGCATGTGCAGCTCAAAACGCGTCCGGGATTTGGACCGCCTCCACCGGTCTTGTGGCCAATCCACCGTAAGCTGCGTCGCCACCGCAACGCTGCAACTCACTGTCGTCCGTGGGCCGGATGACGGCGCGGCCCCTCGTGTTGGCGGCGTTGGAGAAGGGCGCCACGGGCTGGCCGCACGGCGGCAGCTTCCACTTCTGCCCCGACGCGGCGGCGCGGTCCTCCTGGTAGCGCCGCAGCTGGGACATGACGTGGTGCATGAGCGCCGCCTCCTCCTGCAGGCTGGGGTGCGTCATGGCGTCCTGCTCCACCTCGCTGGCCAGCTCCTGCGGACAAGGCGGACAAGGCTGTTAAACGAGTCTCGGCAAACCAGGCGCCGCACCTCGACGACACGAGGACGACACGCACCTCCAGGAAGGCGAGGGAGTGCGGGTCGTCGAACACGGGGTGGCGGACGGTGTGCACCCAGCAGTTGACGAACTGCACGACGCGCCGCTTGCAGGCCAGCAGGAAGTCCTGCTCCTGCGTGGGGCTGGGCTCGATGCGGTAGTGCCGCGCCAGCTCCGACACGAGCGTCTGCATGGGCATGAACACGATGTGCGTGAGCAGGAAGTCCTCCAGGAAGGGGTCGCCGTACAGCGCCTCCTGGCCGCCGGAGCCGACCAGCCGGGTCTCCAGCAGGTGCTCCAGCATCTTCTGCGACGTGCCGGCCATCACGGTGTACCTGCAACGGGGGAAAACGACAATCAGCCTCGGCTCCACGGCGCGCCGCCAAAGCGACACCTGACTCTGCGCGCGTACTTGAAGTGAGAGTGGGTGTTGGAGATCTTCTCCAGGATGAGCACGTCCTGGCCGTGCTCCTTGAGGCGCACGGTGTTGGCCTCCACGTCGCGCAGGATGCGGTTGAAGTGGTCCTTGTCCACGCGCAGGAAGTGGCAGTTGGGCTCGCGCAGCACGATGGACGCGGCGCGGGGCGCGTCGTTGATGAGGGCCAGCTTGCCGAAGTCGTCGCCCTCGGACAGCGACGTGACCACGCCCTTGCCGTGGATCACCACGTCCACCGAGCCGCGCAGGATGATGTACCAGCTATGGCCCTCGTCGCCCTGCTGGAACACTGCGAGTGCCAGAGTCAGACTCAGTCAGCAAACGTTCCGAGGAGAGTCGCTTTCGTCGCTCTGTCTTTCTCGCACCCATAGGGACACCCAATGAGTGCAAGGGAGACGGAGCGACGAAAAAGACTCTCAGAATGAGTCCACAGCCGCAGCTACTCACGGACTTCCCCCGCCTTGGGGTGGGACTCGAACACGATGACGTGGGCCAGCTCCCGCCGCACCGAGTTGCCGAGGTGGCTGAGCGCCCGGATGCGCATCAGCTCGTCGTACACCATCTCCAGGTCGTCCTCGGTGCGCTCGTGCGGCCTGCGACAAGCAGCACGCCGTCAGCGCCCGGGCCAGTCGCTCTGTCTCGCTCGCACCCTTACGGAGAGCCCCCCCAGTCAACAAAACATAGTCCCGGTCCGGGACGGACCATGTTCGGACATCCCTGAGTGGTCCCTGCATGGCCCCTGGGGATGTCCCTCATGTACCTCCCGGGACGCCGCTCGGACCACCCGGCCCGGGGCCCGACGGGGCCGCCGCAGCAGACGTCCTCCATAGGTCCGGCGGACGTCCCATCGGGACCCCTGAAAGGTTGCGAAGGGCTAGATCCGGCCGACGTCCCCGGGGCGTCCCAAGGACGTCCTTTTGGACATGCCCCGCGTTGCTTGGGCAAAACGCCCATGTACCAGTGGTCCGAGGGCCCTTCCCCCGGGCTAATCCCGGCGGGTATCCTTTGGGACGTCCCAGGGACTTCTATTGGGACATGGCCCCCGGCCATAGGCAACACGCCCGACTGCCAGTGGTCCCAAGCTGGTCCTAGCGGGCTAGTCCCGGAGGATTTCCTTGAGGACGTCCCAGGTACATACTGTTTGGACATGGCCCCTTTGATGAGATGCAACACTTTGAAGGAAAAGTCCAAAGTCAGTCTCATGTGTGAAACGAGACCCAGCATATGGTCCCGGCATGTACGCGCGGGGCCTCCGGGGGCCTCCCCAGGGCGTCCGACGGGGACATCGCTACGGTGGCCCCCGACGTATCATGTAGTCGAGACACAACATCAGTTGCATGTGAGCGGCATGGCACAGTGGATAAGTGCGCTGCTTCCAACCCAAGGTCGGAGGTTCGACTCTCCCCAAAAGGGAACGATTTTCATCGTCCGAAGGGGAAAAGGGGAAGGGTAAGGACGGTCGGGAGTGGCAAATTGAGGTCAAGCTAACACACTTGCGTTCAAAATTTTTTAAACCAAAATTTTTTAAAGCTGAACATGGGACGTCCCTCGGTGGTCCGAGGGACGTCCCCCGGGATAGTCCCCACGGACGTCTCGGCGGACGTCCGCGGAACGTCCACCCGGGGCGTCCGGTTCGGACGTCCCTCGGCCTCCAGGGAACGCGTTTTTTTTTGCCATCCCAGGTCCCCCGGACGTCCGACCGGGAGGTCGGGAGTCCCGGGCCGGGCGTCCCTCGGACGTCCACGGGACTATGTTTTGTTGACTGGGCCATGAGTGCGACAGAGACAGCGACGACTGGCTCGGCTGTGGCTGTGGACTTACGACTTCCTCAGGATGTATCTGAGCGTGGCGTGCGGCGCGCGCTTGTTCATCACGTCGATGGCGTCGTGCAGGTCGTCCTCGGCGGCCTCGAACTCCTCCGCCGTGGGCAGCGCGTCCCCCGGCGGCTTGTCCATGAAGAAGCGGTAGAAGGCCTCCGTGTCGAGGAAGGGCAGCTCGCCCGCCACTGCAACACCGCGAGGACGAGGACGGTTAGGTCGCCTCGAGGAGAGACCGACTCTAGGGTCTAGACTCTAGACTCTAGACTCTAGACTCTAGACTCTAGAGTGCGACTTTGGGGTCGAGTAGAGTGCGACTTTGGGGTCGAGTAGAGTGCGACTCTAGGGTCGAGTAGAGTGCGACTTTAGGGTCGAGTAGAGTGCGACTTTAGGGTCGAGTAGAGTGCGACTTTAGGGTCGAGTAGAGTGCGACTCTAGGGTCGAGTAGAGTGCGACTCCAGGGTCGAGTAGAGTGCGATTTTGGGGGTCGAGTAGAGTGCGACTCTAGGGTCGAGTAGAGTGCGACTCTGGGGTCGAGTAGAGTGCGACTCTAGGGTCGAGTAGAGTGCGACTCTAGGGTCGAGTAGAGTGCGACTCTAGGGTCGAGTAGAGTGCGACTTTGGGGTCGAGTAGAGTGCGACTTTAGGGTCGAAAAGAGTGCGACTTTAGGCCCTGGCAAAAAGGCGCATATTAAATTTAATAAATAATTTTGAAATTTAAATTTAAATTTTTTATTAGAGTTGATTTTAAATTTAAAATTTTGTTAAATGCTAATTAAATCTTGTAAGGGGCCCAAGAATGGAGCTATCTATGAACACGATGAGACTAATTAATAGGTCAGGCTGAAATGAAATTTAATTTTTTTTAATATGTAAATAATAATTTTTAATTTATTTTTAAATTTAAAATTTTATAAGCGCTAATTAGACCTTTTTTAAGCTGTATTTTAAATTTAAAAACACATGTTTTAAATTTAAACCCCTACCGACGTTAATGAAAATGTTGCAAACCAGTAAGAGAATCGTGTTGAGATGTGATATTAGAGTGTGAGACGGCATTTCCATGGCCCCCCAAATTCTCCAACACTTTTGTGTCAGAGGCAAGTCTAAAAACACACACACTTCCTTGAGCGCGATGGAGGAAAATGAATAGCCTGCGCGACTAGTGCATGTGGCGATGGAGTCAACACCGCGAGCTAAGGGACTAAAGTAGACCTCAGCGCCATCTGCGGCGGACAGACTTTTATTAAAATTAATTAAATCTTGCAGGGGGTAAAACCATAAAGTTCCTTAACATATGGGAACACCTACTTACTCGAGAGAGGTTTAACGACGAATATGACTCGACACTTTGTTTTCACCGGGCTTTTCAAAGAAACCTTTAAATCACACTTAACATTAACTACCTAAAGTCTTTATTAAAATGATAATAAAAGCTAATAAAGTTTATTAAACCCTCTTTGTTAACAAGTTTTAATCAACATTTAAAACCTTTTATAAACGGACTTGTTAAAAATTTAAATTTAAAATCAAAAAGCACCCGTGATAAAATTAATTAAAAAACAGCCCCTAATAAAAAATTAATTAAGAATTTATTAAAATTTATTAAATGTTAATAAAAGTTTTTTACGAGGGGGGTCGAGTAGAGTGCGACTTTGGGGTCGAGTAGAGTGCGACTTTGGGGTTGAGTGGAGTCCGACATGAGGTCGAGTGGTGAGCGCCTGGAAACAGCCGGGTAGGCCAGCCCGCCGCACAGCGCTGCGTTGACGCACGGCGGTTGCCTGCCGTCCCATTACCATTACCACTAAGGGCTAGACCACCACACCCGGTGCTCCGCAAGCTAACTCCGGAACGGAGCCCCGTCGCGCTGTCTCTCTCGTACCCAACCCACGCGGGACGCCCCATGAGTGCGAGAGAGACAGAGCGACGAAAGGGCTCTCGGAATGAGTCTGCAGATTAATGGCGACGCCTTGGATTAATGGCGGCGAATTTAAAGCCGCGCCGGAAAGGAGGGAAGGAAGGGAGGGACGAGAGGAAAGCAGAGCCCAGCCTCTTTGCGCGCTTTGCGTCACGGCGAGTGGCTCGGCTTCCAGCGCTCCCAGCGCTCCCAGCGCGGCGTCGCGATGCTTCATCGGATTTTCGGCGCGGGACGTTTAAACTAAATGATGTCGGCGAATCCGCATTCGGCGAGGCCCCGCCCCGGGTCGCTGCAAACTGGAAGAGCAGCAAAGCCCTGACACGTTTTAGGCGTCGCAACGGGATTTTCGTCATGTCCTGGTGGAAAAACGGAGACGCGACAGAGACTTGAACTCGCACTACTGTGTCGTTTTTTTGTTTTTTAGTGTTTGCGGAAAACGCATTAGCGTAAGAGTTTTTGTTCCGCGTGACGCGACGGCCGTGACGGCGTGCTGGCGGCGGCGCGAGGCTGCGGGGCTGCGTCCTCGCCCTCGCCCTCGCCCTCGTCCTCGGGCACCGTCCCCCGCCAGGGACACTGCAGGCCCAGGCCGAGGCCGAGGCCCTGTCGCGCGCCTGCGGGTCTGGCAGCATGGCAGCATGGCAGCATGGCAGCATGGCAGTCGCCCTTGCGCCGAGTCTGCCTGCCGTGAGGCTCAGAAGTGACATTGTCTCGTGTTTGCGAGTGTTTGGCCGAAATGGACATGTTGTGGATCGAGCAGGAGGCCTCCGAGTCACGCTCACTGACCCGGGCCCGGGCAGTCTTCGGCGGTCTTGGTGGTCTTGGTAGCCACTCAGGTAGGCGCGGCGCAAACGGGAGCGGTCCGGTCTGTCTCTCTCGCACCTATAGAGGACGCCCACCCCCCGAGCCCCACGCCCACGAGTGCGAGAGAGAGAGAGAGAGGGCGACGAGAACGACTCTCGGAATGAGTCTGCCGGCGGCCGAGCGCTCGACTCGTCTGCCTCCCCGTGGCCGGGCCGTCCGGGGCCGTCGCCCTTGGTGCCACACTGCCGACGCCCAAGTCTCCCGCCGGAATTCCCAATTAATTAATCTAAAGTTTGGCGGCGGTCGAAGGCGGCAAGCGGCCCATCGCTGCAGACTGCCGCAGAGGCCGAGTGCTGGCGCGGTTCGCCCCCACCGAGTCATTCATTCACTGGGAGGGTCGGCTTGCACTTGTCCAAGTGACGCCTCGAGCGGGCCGCTCCGACGCCTCCGCCAAACAATGACAACAACAACAACAACAACAACAACAACAAACACCACCATTCGCCGGGAGCGCCGAAAAGTTCCATTTATTTTGTTTGGCGTACGAGCTGCGCCTTCTACGGCCTCAATGTTTTTGTGCAAACTTTGAACGAAACGTTGCAGTATCTGCGTCGTACGACTGTGCGCATACGTGATTTTGCACAAAACTGGGGAAAGTCCGTCACCACAAAAACTGTAACGTGTCCCGTGCAAAATTGCGCACACACCATTTTAGTGTGTGCGCAGCGCCATGTCGTCCCGTCACCAATAACGTTGTCGATTCCACGAATGGCTGGCGTCCGCGCGCGTCCGCGTCCATGGCGGTCCATCCCCTCAAAGCCGAGCCGAAGCGCGTTGAAAAATAAAGCAGCGAGGGAGTATGAATAAATCCGACCGCCACGCACGCCCCGCACGCCCCGCTCGTCGTCGGCGCGTCGGCCTGCCGTCTGATTCCAAACACTGCTTCGTCGCTCTGTCTCTCTCGCACCCCTACGGACCGCCCCATGAGTGCGAGAGAGACAGAGCGACGAAAGCAGTGCTCGGAATCAGACGGCAGCGGCGCTCGGTTCGTATTGGGCGAGTTGGCCGCGAAAGGGAAGTTCCAGAGCGGAGCGCTGAAGCCGTTAGCATTGACGTCGCGTCGCACAGTGGGCCAAAACTCGAGACGCGTTTTGAGCTCCAGAGTCGCTAAATGGGACTAGAACTGAACGTGTGACCCCACCAATGGCTTGCAGGGTGGGGCAGCGGCAGTGGCTCACAGTGTGGTGTTGGTTCGAGGCCCATTTAGTGACTCTGGAGCTCAAAACCCGTCCGGGATTTCGCCTACCTCTACCCGTCTTCTGGCCTCGGACTTTGCATTCAGAAATCATTCTCAAAGTATCTAAAAAATTGAACAAAAAAAAAATGAAAGACACCCGTTGTGGCCGGCGGTCAAGGTCACTGCGACGGCCTCGTGTAACCAGGCCACGCCGCGCCGCCCCAAGCCCGGTGCGCCGTGCCGCCCTGCTGCCATCCCTGCTTGGTCCTTCCTTTGAGTCCCCGACGTCGACGACTTCCTCCCCCCTTTATTTATCCCCGGCAGACTGAGCGTCGTTTTCATCGCCCTGTCTCTCTCGCACCCGTACGGGAAGCCCCGGAGAGAGAGGGACAGAGCGACGGAAAGAACTCTCGGAATGAGTCTGCAGCATCCCGGCGGGGAAACGAACCAGAAGAATGGAAGAGCGCCTGGCGTGCCACTGGCGTGCCACTGGCGTGCCACTGGCGTGCCCCCCCCCCCCCTCCCCCTGAGGCCCCCCGGTTCGTTGCCAGTGTCCCCCGGGGCCCCGGGGACCAGGACGTAAATAAACCCACGTTCACCTGTCAGGGGGGCGGTGCCGGCGGTGCCCCATGTGGCCGCCGGTCCCCGCTGAGGCTCCTGGTCCCGCCCTGGGCGTGGAGCCGAGCGGGCGGGACTGGCGGGACTGGCGGGACTCGAAGGCACGTGCGCGCCCTTGTCAGAACACAGCCGGTACAGGAAACACCACTCCCCGTCCTCCAGCGCCCTCCACTCTCGCTGGCGCAGGCGGGTAACGCCGGGCAACGCGGTGTAGGGCGCGCGGCGGCACAGCCTGGGCACAGCCTCCGCCGGGGCGTGCTCACTAATGCACGAGCGGCAGGTCGATTCCGAGGCGCGTTTTCGTCGTCGCTCTGTCTCTCTCGCACTCATGGGGCGTCCCGTAAGGGTGCGAGAGAGACAGGGCGACGAAACTGAGTCTCGGAATCAGTCTCCGGCAGCTGCAGCGCGAGGCAGGAGTCACGGCGAAGGCGAAGGAGAGGTGCCTCGCCGGGCTGACGCTCGGCCGGGGCACTGCCGCCCTCATCTCTCCCTTTCCCAGTGGAGTGGCCCTGCCCTGCGCCCCGCGTCCATTACCCGGCCATTCTTCCGCGCCGCGTTCCCGGTGTGCGGCACTCTTAAAGAGCTGCCGTCGCGAGTACCGTCCTCGCGGTGCGG